GGGGTTAAAGGGCAGTCATTAGGATGACTCCTCCCCAGTCTGCTTTTCTATCGTGTTCTTCATACCACTTGTAAGGAGCCTCTGCCCACCCCTGGTTTCTTCTGAAGCATCTTGTGAGATGTGCTTTGCTATACAGCCTGTAGTTTAATCCAGACAGACAATAAAAACCCTGAAGGGCTTTCTCATTCCTTTCATTCTGGGGTGGTCATTTTATTAGTGCAAACACATGTTTTCAAAATGCACATTACTGCAAATTTGGTATGGCTTGGGAGTTTTGCATAATTCCCCCTTTTCTTAGACAGGCACTGTGATGGCCTAATTTTAATACTGTGGATAAAACATAAGAAATAGCCCTCTAAATGCTTTAAAACTTTTTGATGCTTGGTTTTTTTCTCATAAGTCAACTAAATGACATTTTCAATCTTATCCTTGGACTCATGATAAAGTATCAGAGAGCCATGAATTTGAACAATATTTTCTTGCCTTCCTCTCTCTTTCACTTTAGAATTTATTTCACTATGTAGAATTTTTGTTCTGGGTTTTGAATAGGAGTAATTATGAAAATAGGACCTATCCCTTCACTTGCTGTAGGAATTCCGTGAATAGTTCATCATTCACAGCATGGACAAAGAGGGAAATACCACCTGCATTTCAGATAACTATGATATTATAGCACCTAATTTTTCTCCAGTTAGTATGGAATAAAATAGAATACTGTGAAAAGATGACAGATAGAGCTATCTGATCTCTAATTTATTCAATAGTGTAACTGATTTTATAACTAGTATGTTTTTGTATTAACTATGGGGACAAAGAAGATTTTGGATCAACTGTAACACCCTGCTCCCTTTTACCCAGTAAGTTTCCATTTTAAAAGAATGCATTTTTGATGTTTGTTTGAAAGGATAATAGTGTTAATGATAACATTCAATATGTAGACTCCAGATTCTGATAGCCTGATAACCCTGCTTTACATCAGGTATGTTCCTGATCTCTGAACTCTGGACTGAATGGGTTAAGTCCTTTAATTAGGAAAACTACTGTGCAGAATTTTAAGAGATGCTAAGGAGTGTAACCTATATAAGTTCTTTTGATTCATTATATATTTTGATTCAATAGTTTTTTGTTGTGGTCAAATTATATTTAAGACAATTAAAGAGAAAGCAAAGAATATCAACAAGTTGAACTACTATAAGAATAGCTTGTACACTTAAAAAAACTAAAACCTAGTTTATATCACCTGAAATTAAACTTGAGAAATCTGCTATGAATAGAAATGAGATTACAAAAATCACATTCAGCATATTCTAAGTTAAGAGACATGTAAGCATTAAAGCCTTATTTAAAATCTTTAAAATTATGTATTTTCATAAGAGATAATCTGGAAGATACAGATAAGTAAAAACATCTCCTTACAGAGTGCTATTAACATGCCAGATGTGTCCAGAGATATTTAAAATGTGACATTTTATTTCATTAAAAAACTATGACTGTATTAGTTTGCTAAGGCTTCCATAACAAACACAAACAACTGGGTGTTTTAAACAATAGAAATTTATTTCTTGCTATCTTAGAGGCTAATAGTCTAAGATCAGATGTTGGCAACTTTGATTTCTTTTGAGGCTTGGCCTGCAGATGACCACCTTCTACTAGTGTTTTCCTCCGGTCTTGTTATAAAGATGCCGGTTATACTAGATTAGGGACAATGTGTACGACTTCATTCTACCTTCTTACCTCTTTAAAGTCATATCTCCATTCTCAAGTACTGGGTACCCTCTATTCTCCAACATAGGAATTTGAGGGGGAAATTGTTCAACCTTCGGCAGTATCAAAGCATACATATTTATTTAAACCTACTTTGCTCACTTAGCACCAGTATAGAAATGCCTTTCTGTATCAATACATTTATTCTTTAAAATTGTGTATTTAATGGATGTAAATGATTCTGTGGTTCATGTGTGTATATATATATTATATATAAAACCTAGTGACTCAAAACTGTTCTTTTATACTCTACACTCTAAATGCTTTAAATATACTTTTTGTTTTAAACAATAATGAATATTCTTGTAACAAGGTCTTGTCACAGTTTAATTATGGTCATAGTTTAATTTTCTTGAAGTGAAGCTGCTGAGACAAAGAATAGGACATTTCAAAAGCTTTTGATACACTTTATTGGATATCAAAAGAGTATACCAAATTATAGCCTTATGGGCAGTATAGAAGAGTTCCCATTTCCTCCCCCAATTTCATCAACATTATAATTTACAAGTCATTAATAAGTTGATTAAAGGAAAATGCATTCTTATTACTATTTGAATTAGCATTTCTTTGATTACTAGGGTGATGAACTCTTTGACCATCTGTTTATTGACTTTATATTTCTTAATAGTGTTTGCTTCTGCTGATATAATAATGTTTACATTTTTTATGACTGCTATTTTTTTAAGGATTTATTTATTTATGCATACAAGAACTGGGGTACAGGCCAGGAGTGTGGGGAGTGAGAGGATTCACCAGAGAAAGAGTGGGAAACAGAATAGAAATGAGATTACAAAAGATTCCAGCAGACTGACTGGAATACTCTGCTGAGGGGAGCAGTGGGTGAGACTGGAGAGGTCTGTTGTGCCATGTTGGTAGCTCCCTGGCTGGGATTGGGCTAGAACTCATGCTGCAGAGGCTGCGGCTAGCTTCATAGTGCCCAGACTTAACCCCTTGTGCTACTAGGGAGGCCCAACTGCAGTTTTTCCATTTAGCTACTTTTCATCTATAACTTATTTTATTTTGCTCAATTTTATTTCAAAGATGATTTATGAGATAATTTTTTTTTACAATACAACTGTTATGTTTCTGGGCTTTTGTCTTCTAATTCTTCTTATGTGTTTTTATGCTTATATCTTACTTAGAATATGTATATATATTACATATGTAAATTAGGTAGTACAAATTCATCAATATTATTCTCTTTCAAAATTTTCTCAGCTATTGTGCTTTTTATATTCTGTATATATCATTGTGTTACATTTTCAGACAAAAACTGAATTAAATTTCTTTATGTAGACTGTTCATGTAGAGCTAGGAATAAATTCAGGTTAGTGATTATTTTCCCTTTTTTAGCTCTCAATTTAGAGTTCTTTAAAATCTTACTCGATATTTTTTACTTGAGTAGATCAGATATTTATATAATTATCAACGAGATTCTAACTTGTTATAATTTTAGCACTTACTTGAATAAATACAGGTTTCCAATTTTAAATGGGTTTTAATTTTATTCTTTTTTTTTTAAAGATTTATTTACTTATTTATTTATTTATACATACCTACAAGCACTGGGTACAGTCAGAAGTGGGGGAGGGTGAGAGAATTCACCAGAGCCAGAGCGGGGAGCAGAGCAGGCAGAAGGACCGAAGTACACTGCTGAGGGGAGCAGCGGGCGGCAGGAGAGGTCTGCGCGCCATGTGGGACCCTCCTCCGGTGGCCAGGGAGCAGCCAGGGATCGAACCGGCGTCTCAGAGGCTGCGGGCAGTCTCTCAACCCAGCGCTCAACCGCTGCGCCACCGGGGAGGCCCTTAATTTTATTCTTATCTTCAACATTACTCCTATATCTAATCTACTTTTATGCCAAGTCAGATTTCCCCAATTCACCAAGATTGTCTGATAGATTGTATTATACTTTCCTCCTAGTTTCAAGCAAATTTTTAAATGTAGGCTTAATTTCTATAGACTCATTTACTTTAAAGAAATTTATTTTTTCAGTGATGCATATACCCTGTCCTCACATTTTCTGTTCTAAGTTTTATTTTTGGGATTTTTTAGGCAGAATATTTATCTCAGACCTCTTCTCGCCCTCTCACTCTATGATGTATAACTTGACTAATTCCCATTTATCTCTTTGGGGAGGCTCCCCTGACCACTCAAGCGCCTTGAACGAGAAGGCCTATCTAGGTTGTTCATCAGTGAAGCCTTAGAATTGAGCACCGTACTTGGCATAAAGTGTGTGGTCATAAAAAAATAAGAAAAAAACCCTGAATGAGATCGAGAACATAGTAACATTTTACCTTACACTAAATATGTGATACATTTCAATACCAGAACTTACCTCCTTCATGTGTGGCTTGTATTTGTGTATGTTTGATTTGGGGATTTGGGGAACAATGGCAGGGCTCAAGGGAGCCTATAGTCCCTTCATAGCTCCTAATGATGAATCTCTATATAACTAATGATTTTGAGCATTTCTGCCCATTGAAGTGTCTGGAGAGGAGCTGGCATAATCGCTCATTCCAGTAATGCTTTTACGTAGGAAGCAAACCTTGTGTTTGATGGAAAATTCCAGAACAAAGCAATTTTGTGCAAGCAAAATGGACTGTAGTTTTGTTTTATATCAGTACTATATCTTCAATGCTTTTCTAGGACCCACCTTTCCTTTCCCCAACCCTTAAGGTATTTGTGTAAAACATCATTAAAACATTTAGAGGGCCTCCCCTGTGCCGCAGCGGTTGAGCGCTGGGTTGCGAGGCTGCCAGCAGCCTCTGCAGCGCCGGTTCAATCCCTGGCTGCTCCCCGGCCACCGGAGGAGGGTCCCACATGGCGCGCAGACCTCTCCTGCCGCCCGCTGCTCCCCTCAGCAGTGTACTTCGGTCCTTCTGCCTGCTCTGCTCCCCGCTCTGGCTCTGGTGAATTCTCTCATACTCCCCGCGCTTCTGACTGTACCCAGTGCTTGTATAAATAAAAAAAAAAAAAAATTTAGAGCCAGATTCCTTTTTTTTTTGTATTGAAGATAGAGTTTTATTTTCCTACTTTATATATTTTAATTAATTGATTGATTTTCTTACATTGTTGTTAATTTTTGGACAGTGTTTGATTTCTCTTCTCAGGTGTAGTCTCTGTAGTTCTCCCACCTCCATGGTACCTGTAGTGCCAAACACAAAGGAGCCTGCTTTCAATGGTGGTAGACTGGGGGTGACCCTGAAATTTGTTTGCCTTTTTCTTCATCTCTGTAGATCTATGCATATGTCTTTGAAAACATCAAGTCTGTCCAATTGGAAGCACTACTCTTATCCTTGCTGAGTATCGTGGTGCTTGTTCTGGTTAAAGAGCTGAATGAACAGTTTAAAAGGAAAATTAAAGTTGTTCTTCCTGTCGATTTAGTTTTGGTAAGTATGAAATCAACATTTAGCATTCTGCCCTCCAATGTTTGCCAGTTGTTGGAATAACCAGCAGAGGCTCAGTATTTTGTGTACAGTAACCCACAGCTACTCCTGTCTCTCATTAAAATAGGGCTAATTTGCGTGGCTATACATTAATGTCAGAACAGGAAACATTTTGAGTCAATAAATTTAAAAAGGAGGCACACATGTTTTCAATTTACACAGCATTTCTCATATGCTTGCAATTTTTTTTGCATAAATAACGGGACATATAGCCTAAGATTTTAAATAAGGAGATATTTCTACTAGTAAGACTTAAAAGATCTCTGGCATGATTCTCAATAAAGCAATAAAAAATGATACCACTTTTCCATGTGACATCAGATCTATTTGACTGCACATGTCCATCCAAGTGATGTTTCATGAATAAATAAATATCGATTGACAAATGTCCATCAATGATTTGGTAGGTTTATTGACACCTTTGTTCTCTCACCTAATTTTGCTTTACTGGAAGGATGCTCATGAATTTCATTGACCAGGCTTGGTTCTCTAAGAAATTTTGTTGTAACACCTTACAAAACAATTAAATAACTTTGTTCCCAAGGTTCATAGCATTAAAATATATGTTTCAAAAATTCCAGAGTCCTCTAAAAGGAACTCTTAGCTCAATAAAGAATTAAGCTGAAAATGAAATGTAAACACAACCACAGTCCACTAGCTTATCATTAATTGGCTTTAGTTTTTTAATGGTCTTTGTATTATACATGCATGAGAAAAGTGGTGTCTATGTAATTTTATTTATTGAGATAGACCTTCAAACTATTGAAATAGTATAGGCTTATGTAAACATATATGGCTAGCACACCGAAAATGGTTTCTGAAGCTTTCTATAAAACAAAGATGATGAATTTTTTCCATGGGTAGACCTTGTATGATTCTACACCTTTGATAATTTGTGGAAATGTATGTAATCTATGTGATCTAAATATGTATATGCTTATTTTTAGTAAATTATAGAAGTAGGAGATATTACACTTGTTAGTAGATTTTATGACAACTGCGAAATATAGTATGTTATTCCAAAGGTTTTCAGAAATACTTAGTGTGTCTTCCTGGGAAGCTTTACTACCTAAGTTTCATGAAACTAAAAATTGGCAGTCAACTTAGGGAATGTCTCTGTGCTAGTAATATAATTGTTGCTTCTTCTTTGCAAAAAATAGTAAGAGTTATCCTTCCAGTAAATAGAAAGAAATAATTATGTGGTATAATCCTGTACACACATACACACTCACACACACACATGTACACGCACGCACACAGCAACTCCTTTATTCTGTGCTCTGTTCCCCTTCAAAATCAGACGTAATTGGATAGATGTAGGTTAGGATAATAGAAAAACCGTAACATTGGGAGACTATTTAATTTTTAAGGTTGCAAATTAAACTCCCTTAAATCTCAGAGGGAGATTTTGATTTTAAAAAAAGTCTTAATTTTCAAGTCTGTGTAACTACTATACTACTCTTGACAACCATGGGACACAGGAACAATATTTGCTTTTAAAAATAGTTCTAAGGTGTTTGAGAGGCCAGAAATAATTTTCTTTTTCTTTTTTTTCCCAAATGGAACCACACAGATTATTGCTGCATCATTTGCTTGTTATTGTACCAATATGGAAAACACATATGGATTAGAAGTAGTTGGTCATATTCCAAAAGGGTAATGTAGACTTTATTTTTCTTTGTTTTTTGTTTTTGATGGAAGAAGGGGTTGGGGGTGGGTGGATTTCATTTTTGTCGAAGACCCTATACTGGACAAAATTCTAATTAATTTTTATTTAAAATTGATAGAAAATGTTAACCTATTAGTAGGGAAGTTTATACTATTTTGTACAGCACTGATTTAAGTAAAAGATTTAGAAATTATTCAAAAAGGTAGTATCTGGAAAAAATCGGGGGCCTTGAATATCCAAATCCAAATCTGGGATTTATTTTTTCTTCATCCCCTCACACATTCTTATTCTCATTTCTCTGAAAAATTAGTGAGAGGACAGGACACATGAATCATTTGAAATAGTAAACCCCTTGATTGGGTAGTGCAGAAATTTTAAAGAGAGAGAGGTTGGATGTGGACAAGAGAACATGGTTCCCTACCTGGTTTAAAACTTTCCTCTGAGCACTGATAGGAAGATTAACAAGATGAGGACATGTTCACCTTACAAGGACAAAAAGTTGTTCCAAATAAAGTTTAAATGAAAACAAAGGCATCTTCAGGAAAAGAGGGTCAGATGATGGCTCATGGGTTATTCTGTGGAATGAGATGTATATATACACTAATATTTTAAATTTGAGACAAAGTTATGTCCTCTATATTTTTATCTCCCAGTACTGCATATTGGTTTCCCACTACATTAAATTGGTTGAACAGTAGAAAAATTAAAAAGATTTAAAAAAATCCTCTGCCCTTAGCCTATACAGATAGGAGCTAGAGGTAAAATTCTGACTTGGTTTTCTAAATGTTTCTCTACTTTTTCAACTCTACAAGTGAGCTTGTATTTTCTCTCTAGGTCAGTTCACTGTTAATCTTAATGAAGGACATTCAATTTTCTTGAAACAAAAATGTTCTTATACTTTGAAATAGTAGCACTTTTGTGTAGTAATATATTTCAGGGCCTGTAATGAAATTAATTTGTCTTGGGGCTAGACTTGTGCCTCTTCATCCTCTCTAATTCTCCTCTGAGTGACCTTTCTAGATCCATCCTTAAGATTTCTAAGGGATCATAAAAAGATCATGCCACTGAAAAGAGATTAAATCCCATTTACCCTTTTCTTGGTGACTTCAAATACATCCTCTACATCTCAAAATGTTTTCTCCTCCTCAGAGTACATCCAGTGGCACTTAACCTGGAGGTTGTTGGCGCTTTAAATGAAATAGCAAATATGAAAAGGGCTGAATATTTTACTCATGGTATTAAATCAACATGAATTTTATTTTTATTCTACTTTTGTACCAGAGGGATTTTGTTTTTCTGGAGGGAGGTAAACTTTACAAAGTAACACCAGGGATAAATAAATGAAGATACCCTGGTTCAAGTGGCTTTCAAAAGACAATAAGACAATGACTGAGTATTAGCTGAAAAAAATGTTTGAAACAGTTCTTTGAAACTGGCAACAACTAACTGCTGTCCTTTATTTCTCAACAGAGGATAGATGGAGCTTTTATGCATATTTTTCTTGACCTATGTGATGTTAGCAGTCTACTGTGAGAGGGCTGAGTTAAAAACAATCAAGATTATGAACTCAATGGCAAATTTAAGGATTAACTAAAAAACCGTAGCGCACAATAAACTAGTGTTTGCATACAGCCTGTAGTATTCAAGGCAGGAAATACAGTCTCTAACACCAGCCAAATAAATATTTGGAAATGTTCGAATGAAAGAACACTGCAGATTTGCTTTTGTTCAGATCAAGGAAATTTTTGTCGAGTCAGAGTTTCTGCGGTGTAACCTGAATTCCCTTGGGCATAAATGCCAGTTAGACGCATGGAGCTGTCCCTGTGGTGTGCCTTGCAATTTTTCTTTTCTGCTAAATAATGTTGAAAACAAGGGCTTCTAAGGGCAAGGCTGCTTGGTTTTCTCATGGGTCTTTCGCATACTCTATGTAAACTTCAGAGTCATTACCACAGTTGAATTCATTGCAAGTTGTTACAGAAATTAAATGAAGGTTGATGACTTCAATATGGTCTTACTTTCCACAGAATTCCTCCACCTCAAGTCCCTCCTATGAATGTGCTCTCTGCAGTCATCACTGAAGCTTTTGGGGTGGCACTCGTTGGCTATGTGGCCTCACTGGCTCTGGCTCAAGGATCTGCCAAAAAATTCAAATATTCAGTTGATGACAACCAGGTGGAGTATGCGTTAGCCCCTCTAACAGCTATTGTATCATTGTACTGCGTGCTCTCAAATCCTGAAAATGCTGAGTTTATGAAAAATACCACTGTCTTAAGTGTATGGCAAGAATGGGTGGAAGTAAACATTAGAAAAATTTCTAAATCATTCATAGAAATCTGAAAATCTGGTCTCTGTGGGTTGTTTATAATATACTTAAAAAAAAAAAGAGGACATCTTGACGTTCTTTTTGATTTGATATTAGGAGAGAATGCAAGTATATTTATCATTGCATGCTAACATTTAAGAATTATGGATTTCAAAGTATAAAAACACTAATTTTATTTGCTCCTCTTAGTAAAAAACAACAACAACAACAAAAAAAAAAACAAATAAAATGAAAGGATGTGAGGGTCTGTTCATAGATTACCAAAAGGTAAGGATTTTATGATCCTATTTCTAAATCTATCAATACTTCTGCCAGTGTCTTATTTCAAGCCCTGTGGCTGTGCCTTGCTGCACAGGTCTGCAGAGAGAGCTGTGAGATAGCAGTTAGAAATGCTAAGTTACCTGGGTCAAAATCTCACTCTGCTTCTACAGGAATATAGTCATTTCTGTGCCTCAGGTTTCTCATGTGTATAAAAGGAGATTTATTCATTCAATAATGCATAAGAAACCCTGCTACGAACTGGTCCAACCATTATGGAAAGCTGTCTGGAGGTTCCTCAGTCTTCTAAAACTGGAGCTACCATACAACCCAGCAATTCCACTTCTAGGGATCTACCCAAAGGGCACAAAAACATTGATTCAACAGAACACCTGTACCCCTATGTTTATTGAAGCACTATTTACAATAGGTAAAACCTGGAAACAACCCAAATGCCCAAAAATAGATGACTGGATCAAGAAGATGTGGCATATATACACAATTGAATATTATTCAGCAATCAAAAAAGATAAACTCATGCCATTTGCAGCAACATGGATGGAACTGGAAGGAATTATGCTCAGTGAAATAAGCCAGAAGGAAAAAGAAAAATATCAGATGGTTTCACTTATAGCAGGAATATAGGGGGACCAAATAAGACATCAGTGTAAAAAAATAATAACAGTACAAAACACAACAAAGCAAAAATGGACAATTATAAATCAGAGACATCCTGCAGGGGAGGAGGAGGGAGAGGGATCAGAGGGAGGGAGGGAGGAGCACAGGGGACTGAGGTGATGGTGCACGGGTGCATTGGGGAAGGAAACTATGGGGACTACACCTGAGGGGGTGGGGGGAAGCAAATATTATTTAAAAATGAACAGTGATGTAAAAAAGAAAAAAAATATAAAAAAAGAAGAAAAAATCCTGCTATGTACCAGGCACAGGTCCAGATACAAAGGAGTCAATGCCACACACCACAAACCATCTTTCCTCATCTCAGAACCCTCGGTGGGTCCTCCCCTGGTGGCGCAGGCGGTTGAGTGCAGCGCTGTGAAGCTGTCCGCAGCCTCTGCAGCGCCGGTTCGATCCCGGCCCGCCTGCAAGAATCTCACATGGCGAGCAGACCTCTCCTGTCTCGCCTCCTGCTCCCCTCAGCGGTGTATTTCGTCAGTCTGCCTGTTCTGTTCCCCACTCTGTCTCTGCTGAATCCTCTCACCTCCTGCAATCTGGCCTGTATTCCGTTCTTAGGAGTATAAATAAATAAATAAATCTTAAAAAAAAAAAACAAAAACCCTTTGAGGCTTCTCATCATGCTCAGGTGAAAAGTCTCTTTAACAAGGCTTACAAGAAAGACCATCTTGAACTGCCACCATCCTTTTTCATCTCTGCTTTCATATCCCTTCTATATTCTGTTAGCAACACTTAACAGCCTTGCTTTTCCTTGAACCCTGTATTATGCTGTTAACTCGGACATTTGCACTTGCTGTTCCTTTTTCCAGAAACTTTGTTCCCCCAGATATCTGCATGCCTCTATTATTCTAATATACCCTTTTCAGGGAGGTCTTCCTTGGTAACCTAAACCCCTAAACTCTAGATTTTTCCACGGCTTCCTCTGCTTTACTTTCCATATGTTATCTTGTTTATTGTGAGCCTTACCTCATTAGAACATCAACTATGAAGACAGATATATTTGTCAGTGTTGTTACTGGTAGTAGTAGAAGCAGGAAACATCAGGATGCTTTTGCAATAATCTAGGTGAGATTTGATGACTTGTCCCAGGAGGTAGCTAGGGAGGAGATGAGAAGTGGACAGATTCTGGATTGGACGTGGGTGCCATCTCAGAAGTGCAAGAATCCAGAGTAACTCTAAAGCTTTTGGCTCAATTAATTAGAACTTAAGATGGAGAAGAATGCTGGAGAACTAGGTTGGGGTGATAAAGAGCGATAGTCCATTTATCAATAGTTTGGATTATTAGCCCTTTAAATGGAGATGTTGAGTAGGAGGTTGGCTCTGTGAGCCTGATGTTCAGAGGAGTAGTCCAGGCTGGTTCCATAATATTGGGAGTTGTCAATGTGTATTTGGGTAGCTAAAATGGGGCCTGAGAAGAGAAGGGGTCCAATGTTTATGATTTGTTCATTGAAAAGGAACCGCAACACAAAGAAAATTGAGAAGAACCACAAAGGTGATCAGATAGCTAGGAGGAAAGCAGAGGGTAGCCGGTCCTTGAAATGAACTAAAAGTCTTTCAGGAAGAAGAGGTGAGCAAGTAAACTCTGTCAAGTGCCACTTTTAGGCCAGTTAAGAAGAATGAACCACTGCATTTAGCATAGAATACTGTTGCTGTGATGGGAACAAAAGCCTTCTTCATAGGGCCTTAAAAGAGAAGAGTGATTGGCAACAGACTTAAAAAACATGTGTACTTTCTTATTAAGGTTAAGAAAATTAAATGAGTGTGGAGATTGGTAGAGTTTCTGGTTCATTGTGAATACTCAATAAACATTTGTTATTTCTATTGTGCTCTTATCACAAACAGTCAAGGGAAGAGAAATTGAATGTAAACAAACCTTGTTCCTTAACAAATGGTACCTGTAGTCTCTAAGAGGTGAATATGAATAACAAGTGATATATTTCATTATTATTAAATTTGCAGGAATTTTTGGCCCATGGTCTCAGCAACTTGATCCCTTCATTTTTCTTCTGTATACCAAATGCTGCTGCCCTGGGAAGGACTGCCTGTCTCTACAGCACGGGAGCAAAGACACAGGTAACTTCACTGTTCAACAGGGAACAAAGGGCTCTCCTTCTTGAGGGTGGGAAGAATGAAAATATCTTTGCTTCTTCAATTTTTTTGTAACTGTCTCCTTTCTTTCTTTCTTATGAATGATCCTTCCAGAAGTTGAAAGATTTAATGCACAGACTAGAAAATCCTTCACTAATGGCAGCTATTGTTGGCAAACTTTGAACCAAAGCTCCCTCTAGTGGTGCCTCTAATTTATTTTTGGTTAATTTTGCCAATTTGAAATTTCCCTTTTTGTTCACTTTTATTAAATAATATAAAGATAATTATGTAGAATAAGTCTTTGACAATATATTTACTATCTATAGGTATGTAAAAATGTGTAAATGTATGTCTGTGTACATTATAATTTAAAGAAGAAATTAATATATATTTTTAAAAACTCAAGTCAATTATACCAGGTTTTATGTTGGGTATTGGTAACATGGCTACGGTGATTTACAGATATTGCTGTGATGAGGATGGTGGTGGTGGTGAGGCTGGTGGAAGCATATAATGAGTGCTGTGTTAGGCATTGAGTCATACTTTTTTATATAAATAAACTCATTTGACCCTTTAGATAACTATATGAAGGATATATAATTTTAACCCTCAGTTTCCACATGAAAACTTGAGGAAAAGAGGGTTAAATTAACTTACCCATTTCATGGTGGAGTGATGGAGCTAGGATTTGAATCCAGTAGATTTATATAAAATCTCAAACTCCTAACCAGTGATCCATATAAAAAAGTTCATGTATATTTTAACATAAGAAATTAGTATTTACAGTAACCATTATTAAAAAATCACATTTATTTAAAATTAGAATTGAGTGATATTCTATAAAATGTATTATTTGATTATTCAAACATTTATTAGTAACATACCTTATATTAAGTCTTTTTGGGGTGGTTGTAGAATAATAAATTTGAAAAGGAGATGGTGCTTGACATTGGGGATAAGTATCAAGAGAAAGATGGGTAAATGAGCATTCAAGATAATATCAAACCAACTAATATAATTGTTAATGAATGTAGAATGGAGCAAAGGACAAGAGACAAATTCTGAATGCATAATAGTTTGATGAATAATTGTCACATTTCATTAACTAGGATGTGAAATCTTCACTCCATCTTGTTTTTTGTACATGACAATTTGATTTTTACACACTTAGTGATTTCAAGTGTAAGTTCATCATCTGTATTGGCAATTACATCTTGGCTAACCATACTCTCAAATGTTTGGGAACTGAATTTGAATGTTTAACATGAACTGTACTCAAGTATATTGTCTCTTACTCTGAATAACTTTCTATCTGTAAAATTCCAAGATTCTTTAGTAGTTTCCAACCAGTTTCTCTCAAAATTGGGTATCTAGATTCCTCTCTTTAAGTTCAAGCAAGTACAATGAGTGGTTAAGAGCATGGGTTCCAGAGTCTGGCTTGGGTCCTGGCTCAGTAATGATTGAGTGACTGCACAAGTAACCTGACCTCTCTGCATGGGGGTGTGTATGTGTGTGGAAGTGGGGTGGGGGTTGTTTATCTGTTAAAGTGATTAATATGAGGATTAAATGAGATAATAATACATTTTTCGCACAATGCCTGAGCACCAAATAATTGCTACTTCTAAGTTAACAGTTATCATTGGTTTTATTATTATTAAAAATTCCATTATTATAATAAGATATTTTCAGAATCTCCTCTTAACATTTGGTATTAAAAAGTCCTGACTTGGTTTGGATACAGCAGGGCAGTTTTCTAATCTAAGTGGCCCCTCCAACTTGCTGTGGGATCTTGAGTGAGTTAGCACTTTCATCCATCACATGCACAGAGAAGGTTAGTATAGAATTTGTGTGGCATCTTCATCTTGGCTGTATTTCATAGCTGGGATTTCCTTAGGTACCTACCTGCTTTTCCAACTACTATTTTAATAAGAATTAAACCAGCTGATTCATTATTGTAACTTTCAACAACGAATGTTTAAAAGAAAGTATACTTTGAGAACACTCAGTTATTTTAAAATTTGGGCATTTAGTGCCTCCCCGGTGGCGCAGCGGTTGAGCGCTGGGCTGTGAAGATGCCCGCAGCCTCTGCAGAGCCGGTTCAATCCCCGGCCACCAGGGAGGGTCCCATGTGGCGCTCAGACCTCTCCTGCTGCCCGCTGCTCTTCTCAGCAGTGTATTTTGTCAGTCTTCCTGTTCTGCTCTCCGCTCTGGCTCTGGTGAATTCTCTTACCCTCCCGTGCTTCTAACTGTACCCCAGTGCTTGTGTAAATAAATTAACAAATCTTTAAAAAAAATTGGGGCATTTATCATTTGGGTTGGGAAAACATTTGTTGTATTAATAGAATGGGAATGAAGAGGTACCTCTTCTCTTTTCTGTTCTGGAGGTCACATAACTTTCCTAAGTACTTATTGTTGCAGAGATATTTTCTGCAAGACATTCTATTCATCAGACTTCGGAAGGTATTCAATAGGACTCTAGTTCAAGAAAATAATGCTAAGCAGCAGAGCATTTCTCTTGCTGCTCTGCTTGTAGAGATGATCACTAATCGTCCAACAATTCCCATTCCATGGTACAGAGTAATACTCTGATTTATTGTCCTTACCCAAATCAAGGAGGCATTCCCAAGACAGTCATTTTAGACCTTTAACATTGCATCTGCTGTGGGTATACCTGATGACTCGCATGCTTTGAAGAAGGAGCTGGCAAGCCAAGTCTTAAAAGCCTTGTTCTAAATAGGCTATTTGTGAAACCAGTGTACTATGTGATAAGATTTTATAGAACAATCACTTAAATGGCTCTGATTCCCTTAGGGATTCAATTTATACCCAGTAAATCAATCTATTGAAAGATGTAGTCTTTTAATTTCGAGGCTAGTAATTATTAATTTAGTTAAGTTATAATTTCTAATGGAAACTTTATTGTATTTAAAATATCTAGGAACATTAAAATATATTTGGCTTCATGGATCCCTTTTAACTCCCTATCACCTTTGCCTTTCTGTGCATCAGCTCCTTCCAGGAAGTTTAGATTCTAGCTGTCTATGGTTCATTTCTGAAGCAAAGATGTAGGGTTTTTCTTTTCAGGCACATTGTAAGTACATGAGGGAAAGTTCCACAGGAGGGATGAATGCCTTTGTCTTCTGTTGTGAAATAAACTTTAGGAGCTGATGTCCTTTCCTTTCCATAGAAACATAGATTTACTGGGTTACTTGAACGAGTTCTCTGTTCTTCTCTTTCACACCAAGCTCTCTTTAATTCAGTGGAATGAGAGGAATCAGGTTTGTTGTTTAAAAATTCTTATCATGTGAAATCATCAGTGCTCCTAAATAATCTGTAAATTATAATTTGGCATACAGTAACATTTTAGTATGTTCCTTAAAGACTTATTTTCCACAGAAGAATTTGGTTCCCCTTTAAAGGCTTGGGAGTTCTAGAGGTGAATTCCATTAAATATGGAAGGAATTCTTGTGTAGCTTCTTCCATTTAGCTTAATGGCTGTGTCATCTATGTTGTTGTGGGCATCAGCAGTCTGTTCTTTTTCGTTACTGAGTAGCATTCTATTGTATGTATACCATGATTTGTTTATTATTTACAAGTTGTTGAACATTTAATTTATTTACAGTTTTGGGTGTTTATGAATAAAACTACTCTAAAAATTTACATATAGGTATTTGCTTCAGCACACACTTTCATTTCTCTTAGGAGGTTCTGGGTCAGATGGTAGGGAGGCACATAACTTCATAAGAAACCGCCAAACCATTTTTCAAGTTGATGGTACCATAATGCATTCCTATGAGCAATGTCTGAGCACTCAATTTCGGTGTCCTTGCCAGTTCTTGTTACTGATTAGTTATTTTTTGTATATATATATAAAATTTTAGTCATTTTAATAGATCCTGATAATCTTTGATATCTCCATAATGACTGTAGGTATATTTGTGGTACTGTGAAAGTCTTCATTTTTTTCTAACTAGGTTGATAATTTGGTCAAATGTGTTATTAAGACATGAATATTTATTTGCATAGGTGAAATCGGTTCTCCATCAAATGAAGCATGGCTAGGAGTCAGGTGTTTTGAATTGCCTTTTGTCAGCAGGTTGAGTAAGTCAGAACATGATACTAATGACTTTTCAGGATTAATAAAGTGAAGTTTGTTCCACTGCCAGAGATTTCTCCCATAATCCCATATAACCGCTTCATACTAGAACTTTTATTAACAAAGAACTCCAAAGAAGACAGTAAATGCTTCGTCGGAAATTTATCATCAGTACAGAAAACCTCAAGTTCCTTATTCGGCCATTATCCAAATAACTCCCTAGAAAATAAGGAGGGGAATCAGGCTGAATGACAACAGGCTAAAGGACTTTTAATTGAAATGTCACTTTCACTGTGAAACAAAAAAACCATTGCTCTGATATGTGGTAAAAGTTTATGGTGTCCTATTTCTTTGTGTGGAATTGCTTTTCCCTCATCTCTGACTTAATTTGATTGCACCAGTTTGTCAGTTGTCACGTTTGGGTTCCTTCAGCTGCAAAATAGAGATGACAGTTTATGCAATTTAACAGTCATGTGCCAACATTTTGTTTCTTCTAATCAAGATGAACTGAGAATGATCTTTTGCCCTGTAACTTTGGGGTAATGATAAAATCTAAAGCTTTCTTGTTTTGTGTGTCTTATATTTTACAGGTGGCTTGTCTAATATCTTGCATTTTTGTCCTAATAGTCATCTATGCAATAGGACCTTTGCTTTACTGGCTGCCCATGGTACAGTAGTGCTTTTCATTATCTACTTTCTAACTTTATTTTTAATAAAAATTGTTATGTATTAAAATGTCTTGGAAATTTATCCTCCATGATCCTAAATCTGAAAAGCATGGGATGAAAATAATGGAGGCGAGTTGGGAAGAGACCACATTTGTTAGAGGGACAAGTGGCTCTTGTATAAAGACTCTTGCATAAAGCTAGCCTTTTGAATTACTTTGATTCTGTGCTCATCTGGAGGGTGGAATGAGGCAGTTACACCAAATGGACACAGAAAGAATTTTATCAGAATTTGGACTATCAGGGAACGTATGCCCAGCAAGGGACCGTTGGTACCACCTTATCCCACAGTGACTCAGAATACGAGTACTAGTGATTCATCTTATTCTTCGTAAGTCTGGGACAATGTTAGACTTCTGGTCTTCAGAGAGATGTCTGAGTCCTTTCTTGTTATCATTATTCATTCATGCATTAAGAATAAATCATTTCTATGGGTTGATCTTCCAATAACCAAGTTTATTTTCAATACAGTTATAAATATCTTGAAGTGAAACCAGATAATTGGTACTCAAAGCAATTACAAAGAAATATATTATATAAACATTTAATACTTTTGCAACAAATAACTTTCAAACAAATGGCAGTGAATAATTATTACATAGTTAAAAGGATATTCAGCCTTTAATATTTACTCATAATTTACTACTTTTTTTCTTGTTTATTTAAAATGCATTAAGTTGTACCCCATTATTTTCTAGAATTGATATTACATTCCTCCAGTTCAGTAATAAGTTAGTGCTCAAAAAAATGAGAATTATTTTAGTTTGCTAAATGGTAATTGCTTTTCTCTAATAGGTAATTTAAAAACAAAGAAAAATACCTTGGCTCTTTAAAATTTAGATTAAAATCTTTGTCTTGTTTCTTTATTAACTTATTTCTCATTTGTAGTGTGTTCTTGCAAGTATTATTGTCGTGGGATTGAAGGGAATGTTAATACAATTTCGAGATTTAAAAAAATATTGGAATGTGGATAAAATTGATTGGGTAAGTATAAACTTGCCATCTTACCTTCCCACTCTTATTTAGATTGTATCAAATATATCCAAGTGGTTATATTCCTTTTTTTCTTGTGGCCCACCCTTGCCCCTAGAAAATAAGGGTCTTATCAGAATATTGTTGTATAGAATTTTTATGACTAAAACATTAATGGATAAATCTATAGTTCATTGAACTTTCAGGATAAATTTGTTGGCTTTTTTTTAAAGATTTATTTATTTATACAAGAACTGGGGTACAGGCCACATGCATAGGAGGGTGAGAGAATTCACCAGAGACAGAGCGGGGAACAGAACAGGCAGACAGACGGAAATACACTGCCAAGGGGAGCAACTGGTGAGACAGGAGAGGTCTGCCCGGCATGTGGGTGGCTCCCTGGCTGGCCCGGATCGAACCCGCATAGGTGGCAGGGTGGGGGGCGGCTGTGGACAGCTGCACAGCACAGCGCTCAACTGCTTGCACCACCAGAGAGGCCACAAATTTGTTGGCTTCTACTGTTCTTTAGATTATTTTCTGTATTTCAAAGTATTAGTCAATACCTTATTTTGTAGTTAGGAGTTGTGGGTATACTCTTCAGTCATCATACTGGATTTTACTTTTTGTATGTTCATTTTTTAGATTGTTTTTGATAGATTTCTTTTTTAAAATATTTATGCATACAAGAACTGGGCTTCAGGTCAGAAGTGCAGGGGGTGAGGGAATTCATCAGAGACAGAGTGGGGAACAGAACAGGCAGAGTGACTGGAATACACTGCTGAGGGGAGCAGCAGGTGAGACAGGAGAGGTCTGCTGTGCCATGTGGGTTAGTTCCCTGGCTGGGGATGGAACTCGTGCTGCAGTGGCTACAGATAGCCTCACACTTCTGTGACTTAACCTCTTTTGCCACCCGGGAGGCCCTTTTGATAGATTCAATAGGGGGATAGAATAAAAATGTCTTTAATATATTGTCTAAATATTATATCAAAATTTATACTGAGAAAGGTATTTCTGGCAGCAGTGTGAGAAATTTACAGTGTTGAAAAGAAGTTAAGAGATTATTAGAATAGTTAAGTAAGATAAGTAATAGACAGTTAAGTAAGAGATTATCAGAATAATCTAGCAGGGCAATGGAAAAATATGACTAGGACATTATCAGTGAATTGAGAAAAGCATATAGTTTGAAATTTATTTATTTTTTTATTTTTGTGTGAAAGAACTGGGGTATATGCCAGAGGTGCAGGGGGTGAGAGGACTCACCAGAGACAGAGTGGGAAGCAGAACAGGTGGATCTACTGAAATACACTGCTGAGAAGAGCAGTGGGCCAGATAGGAGAGGTCTGCTGTGCTATATGTGGATTTGCTCTCTGGCTGGAGATCAAGCTCAGCACTGAGACTTAATCCCTAGGTCACCAGGGAGGCCCTGAAATATTTTTAATTAATAATTGACAAGACTTGAGAAATCACTGGGCACATGAAAAAGGAAATAGAGTAAAGTATGTTTACAAAGTTTCTGATGATAGTGTCTTGAGGAATATTTGTGTTTATACCTGAAGGAGAAATTTAGAGAAAGTACAGATTTAGCATTTAAACATGTTGAGTTTGAAGGTATTTGATAGTTTGAAAAATGGTTTAATAGAATTGGTAATTTCCTACTTAGAGGTGATTTGAGAATTTGGAGTAAGCGAGGCAATGTGGTGTGGGCAAAGAACAAGGTTGAGAAATGTGATGTGGATATAGCCAAAACATGATTCACTGGGACATTGGGTTTAGCTTAATAATGATTTCCTGTGGTTGAACTTCACAGATATTTCTTAACTATGAAGAGATTCAATAGTGGAAAACCTTGGATTATTGGGATATTATCTGGCTATAGCATTTGGAGTGATAATATTGCACAAGCTGTGGGTGATATAGGCTACATGAACCAATAGACAGTGTATATCTAGATTATGCAATAGATAAAATATTCCTAAAAGATCATGGAAGTAAACAAAGGTGAGTATGTATGAAATAATTCAAAGATTGAAAGTTAAGAAATCATGGAAGATGGGTCTCCCTTGTGGCACAAGGGGTTAAGATGCAACATATGCAGCTATCTGCAGCCACTGCAGCACGAGTTCGATCCCCGGCCAGGGAGCTACCCACATGGCGCAGCAGCCCACTCCTGACTCTCCCACTGCTCCCCTCAGCAGTGTACTTCAGTCAATCTGCCTGTTCTGTTTGCTACTCTGTCTCTGGTGAATCCTCTCACCTGCCACATCTCTGGCCTGTACCCCAGTTCTTGTATGCATAAATATATAAATCTTTAAAAAAAAGAAATCACAGAAGATACCATCACATGAAAAATTAGAAACTTTTATTTCTTTCATTATTCTTTTATAGTTTAATAATGATTCTACTTTTAGGTGTAGGTCATAACCCTCTTAGAAAGAATGAGAAAACTGGGATCCAAACTAGAGGCAGTACTTATGGTCTCAGATATGAGTTTGAGTAACTGAACATAGAATTGAGAATTACAGAAACTCGATAATATGGATCAGTCACCAAAATAGATAGGAACAGGCCAGGGAAAGGGATGTGACTGAGTCACTACTGAACTATGTTTCACAGGGATGCATTTCCATAAGCAAAATATATATGTGTGTGTGTGTAAATATATATATATATATATATATATATATATATATATATATTTCCTACTTGAATTCAACTTTGGGGTTAGCTTGTGTTTGGGGGATGAGAATGCCAAATATGGAAGATAATCAAATATATATATAAAAAAATAAAAAAAATTGGGCTAACTAATTCCTTGTAACTCTGACAACCTGCATTTGGATTTTAAGGGGAATTGTTGCAGAAGAGTTTGGGGATTTATTCTAACCAATGGAACTATTTACTGATCTATGTTATAATTTCCATTTGCTATCTTTTCAAAGCTGTAAGTGTAGCCCCAGGAAATAACTCAACATTGTAATCCAGGCTTACAATAGATGATGCTGTGGGAGCATAAATATGCTTTAAAAATAGAACCAGATGGTACCAAAATTTTTGGTTGTTCTGATGAATCATGGCCTCCAGGCTATGTGGTTTTTTAAATGGCAGGGACCAGGATCCTCAGTTCCCTATGCAATATTGAATCATGGAGAATGACCAAACGGAATTTTACTTATGAAGCTTTTGGTGAGGACTTACTCTGCCATACCAGGCAGGTTCAGTCAATATTAGGAGATGAAGAAGAAGCAGAGTAGTCCATGGCAAGTTAAAGTAATGATCATAAACTTGTAGCCTTATTTTTACATGATTGAGTATAGTACATTAGGAAGGAAAAAACATGCTGTGTGCAAATAGAATATTCAAATGAGTGGCTACTCTTCCTGAGAAAAAATACCTCAGTGTCTAACCTAGTAAATGACAATATGAGAATTATGTAATCATAAGTGCAAAATTAGCATTACATTTGTAGGGATGGATTTTGATATATTTGTTTCTTCTATATAAAAAAATTCCTTGATTCACTTCCAATGACTTCGCTTTTCAAAGTAGCCTATTATTAAGAATCACTCAAGCTAAGAGTTGATAAATAATAGAGGAAAAGTATTTTAGTAATAAGTGCCCTTAGAAATGTTTCATGCTTGTCTGAAAACAAAACAAAATAAAACAACAATACTTTACATTCCTCCCAAAGAATCTATGCTATTCAGAGTTTTAAAGAAATTTCTAACTCTCATTTCTGTATGGACTTTAATTATGTTGTTTAAGATGTAAATTGGTAATACAGCTATCAGAACAGAAAGGAATTTAGAATTGCATGCACAGGGAAAGTGCATAACTTGGGGTAAAAGAGTTTGAAAATATTGTTGGTCTACTATTTGGTGAATGCAGAACTTTCTGTTTAGAAAATATAAATTGGACTTCACAATTTTTTTTAAAATATTTTTTCCAACAATAAACTTAGAAATGCCAACTGTAATACAATATCTTCTTGCAAATTGGAATTTCAGGTGGGGAATGAAGCTACAATAACATTGTAATTCCAATTAAAGAAAAAATAGAGTTTTCTCACACTCTTTTGAAATATTACCAAGAGCTAAATTTGCTTTGACTTTTTAGCTTTCACAAATTCTCTAGACCTGGGACCCATACAAATATAATGAAAATGATCTTTATGGTTGTTGATCTAAAGTATTATTGTTCATGTTAATTTCAGCCATTTTAGTAATAGACTTTGAATCCAATGTAGTAATAAACTGCATTAGTTCTTTTGTGAGCAATCCTATAAAACAGCATATTGTTGGGAATGACTAAAAATCTGCAAACGTTTGCTTGTAATATTATTACATTAAATGAGAAAACTGAGAAATTGTGGCATGCTTTTGAACCATTCATTGTGCAAACATTTACAATCTTAAAGTGTTTGTTGGAAATTGAACTAAAGTTTGGCAGTATCTAAAAATAAAAATAATTTGCCTTTTCCCTGAGAATCTGGTGGGGCTAGGGTTTGTTTCTGTGTTCCTAGGCTTCTGTTTACCACATCTTAAATAATATATTCTTGCTGAAAGATTTGACCACAGAAGGTTGTAGAAAGGATTGTGAGGAATTTGCCAGTCATTAGGGAGATGGAACTACCAGTGGACCCATATCTCACGTTTCCTGTTTCTCTTACAGGGCATATGGATCAGTACTTATGTATTTACAATATGCTTTGCTGCCAATGTGGGGCTGCTGTTTGGTGTCATGGGTACCATAGCCATTGTGATCAGTCGCTTCCCAAGGTAAAATCTTATTTAAATGTTTGGAGATATGGAACTCTGGGAGCTCAAATGAAATAAATTACATCTATTAGTATCTATTTAGATGTCTCTTTTTTATTACTTTTATTCCTGAGGATCCATAGAAAGATGTACCAGCATTTTATGAACAAATGGGCTATAGGATCTAAACTATTTAGATATGTTCTTTTTTTTTTTTAATAGAGGCATGTTTTATTTATTTATTTATTTATTTACTTATTTATTTATTTACTTGTTTGTTTGTTTATACATGCACTGGGTTCAGTCAGAAGCGCGGGAGGGAGAGAGAATTCACCAGAGCCAGAGCGGGGAGCAGAGCAGGCAGAAGGACCGAGGTACACTGCTGAGGGGAGCAGCGGGCGGCAGGAGAGGTCTGCGTGCCATGTGGGACCCTCCTCCGGTGGCCGGGGAACAGTCGGGGATCGAACTGGCGCCGCAGAGGCTGCGGGCAGCTTCGCAACCCAGCGCTCAACCGCTGTGCCACCGGGGAGGCCCTAGATATATTCTAATAGTAATATAAAATAACATATCCATTTTGCTTCTTCCTTATTTATATAATGATTAGGAAATCCTACTTCATATTTTATTTGCCTTCATTCTAGGTCAAAGACTCTCAGTATAAGGAACATGAAAGAAATGGAATTTAAAATGAAGACAGAAACAGATGATGTAAGTTTAGTTTCCTTTTCCTTTGTGTAATTATTAACAACTTTCGTGGGCCAAAGAGTTTTAAGATATCTTAAATAGATAATTTGTGACATTTAAAGACATGGTAATTCTATGTTTAATTTGTGAGAATGTCATGGGGGTACTGTGTGCCCCCTATAAATAGGGCAATCTACAAGAAACAAATCAAGAGAAGAACAGCACAAATATTACATTAGCATTCATATAAAGTGATAGTGTGATTCATAGAACAACAGTTAACAGTAGAATCGTGGTCCAGATTAGTTCAGGCATTTGGAAACCTCTTTTCCATTACTTAGTTGCATAAAATGTCAAACTAAACTAACAGTGTTCTGAATTCAATTGATGATATGAGAAGATAGGAATAAGAAAGGGAGTAAAGCAAAGTTGGGTCTTACTATTGCTTTTTTCCCCTCATCATAGATGAGACTGTACTGTTAACAAAGGGTAATTAAGTCCAATGGTAATTAAATGTCAATAGGATAGCTCTCTCACACAGCACACACCTTATTAAGGAAACAGCTTACATAATCTGTCTTGCCCTGTCTGTGTGTTGGCAGTTCAATTGTATTCAATATTTGAGTTCCATTTTCTTGTTTTCAGAAATGACCAAAATAAGTTTAATGGGAGGAGAGAAAATATTGACTTGAATCTTTTCCAGTTTGTAAAAATTGGCCTTATTTTGAACCTACTTTGCAAATGTTTGGCTAACCTTTTTTTTTTTCTTTATTTTTCAAATTTACAGAGGTTGGTACCTCATGATTGACTTCAGAATAGAGAGAACTGATCTCTCATCAGAAGGACTCAAGTCAGGGTATATCTGAGTATGCTTGAAGTAGGAGATAGCAGCAAGAGTCTTGGATGCCTAGGGGAATGGTTAATATTTTTAATATGAATGGAAAGATTTGCTTAGAGAACTGTTTGAATTCAGTGTTTGAGGGTGTCCTAGGCTCAAATTTTCCACTAATGCTGCCTTTCTTTTGCTTCTTTAAATATTCAGAGGTAATTCAGTGTTCATTACAAGTCCTAGACTGACTCTTATATCCCTAAGAGTTCTCTGTTCGTCTACCCCTTCCCCACAGCTCTGTTCATTAGCCGTGACAATTTTTAACAGAAACAGAATGAGAGTTTGACTATTTTTCAGCGTAAAGATTAATAAATTGTCTAATTCTTACCTTTGTCTTAGGCTAAACATGTGAGATAATAAGAGAATATGTAGGAGAATAAAAATGATGAAAAATTTTGCATGTCTGTAAACCTTGATCCATTCCAGGCTGGTAATCCTTCTGAATAATCACAATGTCACATGGAGATCATAATTTTTCAGAATATTACACCTTACAAGTTATTTAACATTTTGTTTAAAAAAAAATAAGATGTAACAGCTATTATAAAGCAAGATTTGATTATGAAGTGTTAGTTGGAGTCTCTAGGTAACTCTAAGAACAGTGGCCATCTGTTCTTTTGGTCTGCCATTCGTAAATTCTCCATCCCTTCTTCACATGAATAACTCATTCTCAATTTGTAGCGCTTCCTACTCAGTGAACCAACCCCATTGAGAATTCTTTTTCTGGCACAATTAAAATTTCCGTTCATCAATACTATTAATTAATAATAATAACAACAATAAATTACTAATTAATATTAATAAATTATATTCAGCAGTCTTTTAATTTTTCATGTTATTGTAACATAACATATTAGCACAATGATGTGGAGTGATTAGTGGGCCCATCTAAGATGTGGGCATTTGGGATAACTAAATATGACAGGCCCAAGAACTTCTATTTTTAGTTTATGAGAGATTTACTTTTTTTTTTTTTTTAAAGATTTATTTATTTATTTATACAAGCACTGGGTATAGTCAGAAGCGCTAGAGGGTGAGAGAATTCACCAGAGCCAGAGCAGGGAGCAAAACAGGCAGGAGCAAAACTGACAAAATACACTGCTGAGGGGCACAGCAGGCGGCAGGAGAGGTCTGCGCGCCATGTGAACCCTCACCCGGTGGCCGGGGATTGAACTGGTGTTGCAGAGGCTGCAGGCATTTGCAACCCAGTGCTCAACTGCTGCGCCATCGGGGAGGCCCATGAGAGATTTACTCTTTTGTGTGTGTGTTTTCTTTTACTAACATAATATCTTTGTATTTAACAACATAGGAGATTTACTCTTCATTAAGAGTTAGTTTCCCAAGTCTTTTTTCTTGACTTGTTTATTTATAATAAACAGCTTTATTTCTAGAGTTTAATCAGGTTTGTTGCTATACAAACTTTCTGAGATTTTCTATTTTAATTACTTACCTAATTAAAAATGAAGAAACTGAGGAAGTATAATGAATATTTCAAATCCACATTACTAATATTTTATTTCTTTTATTCTCTTCCTCTTCCTACTGTTTCCTTCCTACTATTTTCCTTCCTCACTATTTCCTGTGTCTTCCCTTTCATGCTATTACTAAAACCTTAAGGAAATGTAATTAGTTGCTTAGGCATTATTGTTCTGAAGACATACCATCCTCACAATTTCTACATTATTCCCCTGCTTTAAAGATAATAGAGAGGAGAGTTTTACAAAAATGAACTTTTGGAACATAAGACAAATTAGTGGGTACTAAAAGAGAAAGAGAGAAAAGGAGTTCATACCTTGGGACAAAAGGGACAATTGTATGGTAAAGAATAGAACTGGACTTCTGGAAGTGAACTTTGTGTAGTATATACACATGTCGATTTTCAAGTATGAACATGAGTGTTACCTAATATTATACTGCAGTGTTGTTTAAATGATAAAAAAGACTACATTCCAGCCATAAGAAAACAGGTGAATGACTGACAGTTACTGACCCTTTATGTCATATTTTTCAGTTTTTTTAAATATTGAATTTTAAGTATTTACTTTAAATTTCAAAATTGAGTACAAAGTAGTTTTAGAGGATAGTTCTTCCTGGTACTCTTTGGCTATTCTAGTCTATTGCCTTCCCCAAACCCCGTAAATGGGAAGAAGGGCCAGTATCTGAAGAGCTGCAGACTCATCTTATGGTTATTAATGTTTCTTAGTAAAGAGGATACACATTTTCCCTAGAAGGTATGATAGTTTAATAAGATCTCCATATAAGTTATAGTAATGGACATGTCAGCTCCAGGTTGTTTCCACAATTGAGTGACTTGGGACTTGTAAGATTCAGACCCTTTGGAGGGCATTATCCTCTGTTTTAAAATCAGAACTCTGAATCTATTCCTTTTCTCCTCCTCAAAGGAAACCCTGCAGCAGGTGAAAATTATCTCAATTAACAATCCACTTGTTTTCCTGAATGCAAAGAAGTTTCATATTGATCTAATGAACATTATCCAAAAGGAAAATGCCAGCAACCAGCCACTTGATGAAACAGGCAAGGTAGGATTAACTGTTTAATGATTAGGATATCATGCTGTGGGTAACGTTACATCATGATACTAAAAATAAAATCTATCATGTAAATATATTATGGAAGTATTTAGAGTGTTGTATTTTTCCATCTCCCCATTATTAGTTATTTTAAGCTATTATTTGTTCACGTGTCTCAAGGGTGTAAAGCTTCCACTTTTTAAGTAGTAGGCACTGTATGTCAGGGAAAATTAACCTGTAGCTGCCTCTCCTGGAGGGGTCTCTATCTATTGAGTGTGTGCATGGAGTGGGCAGGGGGTTGCTTATGCCTGTGGTTCCACAGATAGCCCTACTCTCGGGGTGTCAGACCTGCATATCTGGTCTGCAGACAAGGCTTTCCGTGCAATTTAATGTTGTGCTTTCCACAATATTTTCCAGTTCTGTTTCTCAGTGTCAGCTTGAAGGGACAGGAAGGACATTGAGCAGGTTTTCTATGATCCCATGCAGACCGGGTAAAGAGGAGTCCTAGAACCCGCAGTGGCTTTTTGCAGGCTTTTATTGGGATTTACTGGGTACATGGCAGGTAGGGGTGCCGGGTGGGCGAGGAGGCTGGCAGGCCTCCCAGTCCCCAGCAAGTCTTCACTCTGGGCTCTCTGTCCTTCTGTCATGTTCTCTCTGTTCTTCTCATGGCTCTGTTTCTCTCTCGGCCTCTCTGCTCCTGCTTCTCTGCTTCTTTCTCGGCTTCTGCTGGCGTCCCTGTGACGCCGCCCCTAAAAGCCCAGTCTCAGCCCAGGTGAATCCCATCTACACATGCCCACACCCTACTCCAGGTGCCCTCCATCAGGCATGCATTCAGGACTGCAGATCCATCATCTATCCTAATGGTGGGAGGGCAGAAAAGCCTGTTACTTTTTACCTTACCCTACACAGCTCATACCTTGAGAAAGTAGGGGGAAGGAGTTGTGACTGTCTGACCTTTGTCTTTGTCACTGGGGTCCCCACCTGACTTACCTCAGCACTTTCACAGGCATCTCCCCATGGTTGGCTGGGTCCACGCTGAGCAGCAATACCCTCCATGCTACTGCCCCATCATGGGAACATGGGTATAACCTGCTGATTCTGCCCCTGCCAGTCAGCTCCTGCATTTCTCATCACCCACCATTTTTGTTTAGAGTTGAATTTCCTTAGTGCCTCTCCTTTTGTACAAGATCATCATTGCTCTCTGATGTCTGGAAGGTGCTCTAGTTTTGCCCCAAGTCATGGAATCCTCTGAGTCCAGTGTCTGTCTGGATTTATTTAAGTTATTCTCCTGGGACTGAAGCAGGGAACCTCCTTTGGTGTCACCCTACCCCTGAGTTCAGCAACATTATAACTTTATTATAAAATGCCAGCATCTTTATTTCCATACGGTGTCTTAATTAACCAAGATATTGAATCAAATGTACATTACGATGTTTGATGTAATTGAGCAATTTGTGATATTTTGCATCCTTAAGCCCTTGACAATGTTAAGAAATGAACTTTGGAACTAAGCTAACTGGGTTTCTCCTGAGTTTTGGCATCTTAATTGAGTAATTGGATCTTTTTGTGTTTCATTTTCTCCTTGTTAAGTGAGATGATTAAAATGAGTAATACTGACCGTGGTCACTGGTTGAAGTGGTATTTATCAGATTTCTCCACTGTAAAGTTATTCTGTCACTCCCCCTGCCCCTTTCAATATTATACTCTTTGGAAGCAAGTCGTTAAGTGTAACCCACATTTAAGGAATATGGAGTGATGGTCCACCTCCTTGAGGATGGAGGGTTTACATAAATTATTTGAAAATCTTTGCAAAGATTTTTCAGGCATGGTATTTTTAAGAAAAGGGAAAGGAGGGCCTCCCCTGGTGGCGCAGTGGTTGAGCTCTGGGCTGCAAGGCTGCCCATAGCCTCTGCAGTGCCGGTTCGGTCCCCAGCCACCGGCGAGGGTCTCACAAAAAAGAAAAAAAAAAGAAAAGGGAAAGGAAACACATTCACTGAATATATTTCATGGCTACCTAACTTAATTATTACCAGTCCATGATGTAAAGTATCATTACCTGAATGTCTCAAAAAAAGGAAAGTTGAGACTTAGAAATGTAAAATATCTGGTGGAAATTGTACATCTGGTGGCTGTCAGTTAGATTTAAAATATATAAATTGCACCACTGAGCATCAAGAAAATAGTTAAATGTTCTCTAGTAGGCCTTTAGGATTAAAACTGATTTCATGGAAGCAGTATAATACAGCATTTGGGAGCAGACTTGAAATGGAAAAGACATGAACTTAGGAGCTTTTTGACTTTGGTTAATTTATTTCACCTTTCCAATCATAAAATTGCTTTAAAGAATTAAATAGCTATCATAAGGTCCTTATTGGTATATAGTAAGTATTCAAAAAATATTAGTTGGCATCATCATTGTTAACAAAAATAATAATGTATTATTTCAGAAGTAGATAGCATGTGATCTCATTTGAGGCATCGATTATTTTCAATTTCAAAGAAGTTTAATTTTAAGATACAGAATAATTTTTATTCTCCAGCATTTCCATAAATCAGGAATTTTTTTTTTTCAGGAAGCTGCAGATGAACACTAACTTTTGTATAATATGAAATGTATGCTTAGTGTTTCTTAGAGAATGTGGTGCTAATGAGGTTAATTTCTGATTGAATATGATACATGAAAAGCATATGCAAATGTCTAATTCCTGATCAAAAATCAAAACAAACTTAGTCTTGCAGAAAATGTGCTAAAAAGATAATCTGACATGATAAAATAAAGTTTCAGCTATGCTAATGTGTTATTAAACTAATTATCATTTGCTTATTATGCTTTGTAGTATTTACTGTTCCATTAGAAAGGCTAGTGAAAATAGTTATTGGATACTAGTTTTTGTTATTTGTGAAGATAAAAATTATATACTTCAAGGACAGAAATGAATTTTTATGACATAATTCTATATACCTGTTTTCATTTCAGTGTGAACAAAACACATTGCTCAATTCTCTATCCAATGGCAACTGCAATGGTGAGTTAAAAAAATAAATAAAACACAGCTAAGTTTTCTAACTTTATATAGACAAGAGAAGAAAATTTTCTTTTCCTTCTCCCCCTCTACTTCCTTACTTTGATCTCCTTCCTCTCTCTCTTGTCTGTCTTCCTCTTCCTTCAATCTCTATGTTCCCTTCCCCATACTTCCCACTTTGTCTTCCTTAATGCTCCTCCTTCTCTGCTCTGTCCTTCTCCTCCCTTCTCTTATGTGGCATCAGGCAACACCACACTGTAAAGAAACGGGTATCATGGAGCAGGCTACATAAAGCAGGATGCTGCTGAAGAGCAAGATCCTGGCCTTTTTATTGATTCATAACATTGGTTGTAAAGGGGGAGGAGCAAAAGGAAAGGTGAAGGAGATTAAGAAAAAGGGAAGAATATAGAAAATCAGGGATTATGAGTCTGCCCCCCAGGCACTTCTTATCTGCTTGATGGCTTGGTATTGTCATTGAGATCATGCCCTAATTCCTCAGCCATGGTTTTAATCTTATCACAAAGCATTCCTCTGATCAGCTTCTGGGGTCCTTTGTTATACATTAGTCCTCAGCCCCTGGGGTGTTCCCGGTCATACCTCCTGAAACATAGCCTTTCCAGTGTGATCCAGCTTTATGCTCTTGTTTGATTTGAAGGGCAGCTTGCAGGGTTGGGCTCTGTACCTAACTGACCAGGCCATTTTGACCTTGCTTAGGATTTAGAATTATAGGTGGCAAAAGGGTGGCTGACAGGCTGCTTAGGAGTAGCAGACCCACACTCTTACTTCTCTGTTAGTCCTCTCACTCCCCTGCCTCTTACTCTCCTCTTCATGTCTTCATTTTCCTCTTCCTAATCCTCCTACTCTTAGTCTTAGAAATAAAATATAGTAAAGATATATAGCTCTACATAAGATGATTTAAAACTTTATTACAAGGCATTAAAAATAACTGAAACATAAATAAATGGAAATACAATGCCCATTGTTTACAATACCAAATACTGAAAAGATGTCTGTTCTTGAACTTATTTATAGCTATAAATATAATCCCAATTAAAATTCCAATAGGATATTTTGACAGTTGACAAGTTCATTCTAATTTTTTTATAGAAACTTGAGTGACAAAGAATAGATAAGATACTCTTGAAATATATGAACAAAGGGAAAGCATGTTTTCTTAGTTATCAAGATATATTATAAAATTCTAATAATGCAGTGCAATGTTGGTTTAGAGAATGTTCACAATAGCATTGTTTATAAGTACCTAAACCTGGAAAAAACTCATGTCATAAAAAAAATAGCTGGTATATGTACATTGTGGTATGTTCATACAATTAAATATTTATTTGATATCTTTATTTTATGGTATACTTATACAATAATGAAAATTAGATGATTTTTATAAATATAATTGGACATAAAATAGGCAAGACAAATAAAAGCATATTGTAAAATTTCAATTCCATGTATATAAACTTAAAAAACAAGAAAAGTGGGTTACAATAATTTTTGTATTAAAAAGATAATAAAAATGAGTATTTTGTTACATGTGTCTGGACACATATACAAGATTGTTCATAGTAGGATTGTTTATAATGCCTCCAAATCTGAAAACTATTAAAATATGTATTAACAGTGTAATAGATAGCACTTGGAATATTTTTATCAGAGGACAAAATATTCATTTTAATATCTATTATATCACTGTATATAGTATATTCTCAACAAATATATAACATATAAATACAGCAGAATAAAATTAATGTTATGTTCATATATGAATCAACTCCATTGACCCACATCAATGTGGCTAAAACTCAGATGTCAGCTTCTATGACCTTTTCTGACATTGTGCTCTCAAAGATTGTTAATTTGAGTATGGTACTTATTTAACAGTGATTTCTTAAGTATTTCACTCTCCTACTGATCACTAGACCATGCTCACTTTGCATAGAATACAACCTTATGGATAACATCAAAAATGGGTAAAGGACTGAATAAACATTTTTCTAAAAAAAATATAAAAATGGCCAACAAATACATAAAAATATGTTCAACATCACTTAGTCATTAGGGAATTGCAAATTAAATCACAGAGATATATCACACACCTGTAGAAATGGCCATCCTCAAAAAGACTAATGATAACAAATGATGGGGTTGATATGGAGAAAAGGGAATCCTTGTGCACTGTTGGTAGTGTTGTAAATTGATACACTCACTCTACATAATTTTTCCAGCCTTCACAATACTTCCAATTACTTTAACCAGTTTCCTGATTTGGTAGTGAGTCTGTAGAGGGCAGGGGCCAGTGTCTCTCTTACCGATTCACTCACATTTTTTGGGTCAGTGCTTAGAGTAACACTCATATGTCTATACTGATTGCTTGAATGAATACATAAATGAATGAATGAACAAATGGACAAACAAATAAAATACTCAATAATATGCATGTTTTCCAAAGATAGTATTGTAGTTTGTTGTAAATATTTCTTACCTCATTTTCTTGAGAAAGTGGTGAGGTAAATTTGCTTCTCAATAGTTAATTGATATCAGAAAATACCTTCTTTTAAAAAATTATGAGTTGCTCACTGACTGTCAAGAACCTTTTGAAGTATATGAAAAGCACTCCTAAATTACACAACTATGAATACTTTTTAATTAAAGGAGTTAATGAATATTCTGCAGGAAAGAGCTGGCTTCCACAGTCTGGAGTTAATTGCCCACCCACACCTGATGGTTAATTTCTTTCTGAAATGTTGTTTTTTGTAGATAAAGCCCATCATTTACCACATCCCACATGGGTATAGATTAGTTGTCTCCTTTGCACATGCTCCAAGCTTACCTCATTTTGCTTAAGGCAGGATATTAGCTGTGCATTCACTTCACTCATTCCTACGACGATGTGATTTTTATTGCTCTCGTTGATTTACTTAGAAGCGTAGAACACAAGGTTATAGCTATAAAATCAGTAAAATGTAGAACTGAAAGGAGACTGTGTAAAAGAAAACTTCACTTATTTTTTGGAAAGATTTCAGAAATGCCTGTTGTCTTTAAATTTTCATTTGAGTGAATTAGTATATTTACCATTCAGGATGTGTTTTTTATTTAGAAAAGACATCAGGAATTACTTCTCTTAAAATAGTTTACTTGAATTATTATCACAAATATATGGCATAATACTTTGCTTGGCTTTATTTTGTTTTGTTTTGGAAGCTCTGAAAAGATGTGCATGTCTTGTATAAAGAAACAGGGAAGAGAAGTGAATTAATGAAAGGGAATTTTTTTTATCACTATTGATAAAACCCAAATGTTTTCATAGTTATTAACCTATCACTATGTAACTTATGAAATAATTTTAAGAAAACATATAAAATGGAAAGTACAATTTATAAGAAAAATACATGTGATAGGAAAAAAACTTGTATTTTAAATTATTTCCTATACTTTTAAAATGATCATTTTCCAGTCATTTAGATGCAGTTATTTGTCTCTCTAGATAACATATACACAGATTGTTTTTTCACTGTAATATTTTAAATTTAACTTTGACAAATAAGTTTCCTATCAACTAGTAATAGTTTGCTGAAGCACTGAGTTGGTAGAAATTCCAAGATTTTCTTGACCTCAGTGGAAAAATACCATGATTTACTAGTCATGTCTGTCTGGCTAAGAAATGACAATGACAGTACTCATGTTCTATAGTAATAATTATAAATAATAATATTATGTAGCTTCTTTCAGCAAAAACAATGGGTTGGTATATTTTCTAAATAAAACAATTGCTAAGGCTCATTCAGATTACATTTTCTTTTTAGCTAGCTTCTTTTATAGCTATTACCAATGACTACCAGATTTTTAAAAATAAAGATTCAAGCTTAAAGATCTAAGAAAAATCCATTAATTCTTTATTTTTTGGGGGATGCAAGAAATACTAATGATAATTATATACTAATGATACGATGCAGAAAGTTTTGGATTAAGAAATTTAGATTACAGTTTACTTTGAGATTGGTACTTTTTTATAAACACCATGCCATTTGTTAAGGACAGTGCTGTAGAAAATGGGGAAGAAGAATACTAATTTTGTCATCAAATTGTGTCATTGTTATTTTACAATCTGTTGCTAAAGATATCAGTAGTCTAAGACATTTGTTTAATCAAGGATACTGGATTTTAAAAAAATACTGATTACTTTCTTTATCATAATGAGAATATGCAACTTTAAGCAGTATTGTGCAGGTAAATCTTTAATAAACAACACTTGGAAGGGAGGATATGTTAGAGGTGTGGGAGAACCACTGAGCTGTAGCTTTTGCCAGTTTTCATGGTGCAAATATTTCTATGACTGATTGCAACCTACAACATGGTATCATTCGATGTACAGTTGAGAATATTTGTATACAATTGACATATTGAAAAAATGTCAAAAAGGCTGCTATGCACTGCCTCTAATCCACATGAAGAAATCACATTTGGTACTTCTCATACACATTCCTTTTAATCTCTAGTGTGGACATGGTTCAAAAATATCTGTATAGGGACCCTTCAAATATCAAGCTCCACAGCACATTGCAAACATGAATTGTCTTACTAAAACTTTTTCTATCTTACTTTGTAAGAAAATATTTTATCCAATTCATATATATCTATATCATGAATTATTGAACTTCTCTAAGAAAAGTTATTTGATATTTGTTAGTTTTTTTACACTCTGAAATGTTCCCAAATTGGTTTAGAAAGTATTTATGAGTCATAAAATATATGCAAGAAAATACATATCAGAGATTAAATAATGAACCAGATGTCTCAGCAACTTAGTATTGATTTAGTAATTCTGTCTCTCTAACCTTAAACAAAGTAGAATAAAAGTGTCTATAATTAAAATAGAAGCAGTTGTGTGTGTGTGTGTGTGTGTATCTATAGGACTAGCATATTAAAGGAAAAAATAAATCTACATTTGCTTTTACTTAAGGTATGTATGATCCTAATCCCTCCCTATCTTTGATAATGAGCAGAGCACGTCATATCTGAGGATATAAATAAGAGCCTCTTGCATTGTTAGAAATAAGTCCTATGTCTAATTCAGCAAATAGTAAATGATACTGAGTGGTCAGTGGATGAGCTAAGTTGTAGTTACTTTCAATTTTTGCCTAAGTTTCTAATTTATTGTTTTGGGCCAAATTTAGGCATACCCTAAATTTATACTTAATGCTTATTCTTCCCTCCCATGTGGGAACCAGAGCATAAGAAGGCACTCCTGAATCGCCGGGCGTGCAGTAGGTTCTAGTAAGTGTAGGTTGAATGAGAACAGGAGTTAAAGATTACAAATAATCATTAATGTTCACTAAAGCTGTCCCTATAATCCGAATGCTTACATCTGCAAGTCATTTCTAATTTTTGGAATTATGTATGTCCTTCAAGTCCACTTTTGCAGAAAGCCTTCCTTGATCATTCCAAAAATATTTATCCTTTTAAAATACCCATTCTTTTCTCCTTTTAATAATATGTCATTTGTATATTAACCCCATTCTTGTTATTCAAGAATAAGCTCCTACAAGAAAGAAATGGAAGCTTACATTATCATTCATTACATTTCAAAAAACGTCTTGAACATAACACATGCTCCATAGTTACTATTTCAATTAATATATGTGAATGTAGATCTATAGATGAAAATTGGAAACAAATCCTGTACCTGAAACCGCTTTTGAAATATATTGAAAGTTACTTTACATTGTTTCTCCTTTTCCTAGGAGTGTTGCTCTATGTAACTTCAGTTTATTCTATATCTTCTGCTTACCTGTTTTTACCTCTAAATGGCAGCTTTTAAAAAGACAAATTTTCCCTCATTTATCACCTCAACACCAGTTGAAAAACAACCATATTCCCACTTTTTTGTAGCCACTATATAGGGGAAAACCATGGACATTTTAAATAGCAAAACTTTCCCAATTATTTTATTTTTTTGAGCGACTTTTGACATAATCCAGAGCTCTAGCTGGTGAGGAACATTCCCCAGATCTTTAGTACCGGCGTCTACTGTCATGACATTTGGGTTTCTCTGGGCTCATCAATGCACTTACCTGCCATACACTTTCCCTTTAGAAGCCACCATCATAGTGAAGCTTGCAAAGGCTGGTAAAAATCAAGGTGACCCCAAGAAAATAACTCCTCCCCCACAAGAGGTAGAAAATAAGATGAGGAAATGTCAGAAGATAAAGATGATAGCAGTGGAGAATAGGTTGTCATCCCTCAGAAAAAAAGGCAAGAAAATCACCACAACGCCAACAGAGAAGGTGATGATTTCCATAACAAATATGGGTGTGGTTACCACACTAGCCAAGAAAGCAATTGTTATGCCTGGCAGGAAGGCAGCAGCCACACTAGCCAGGAAGACAGTTACATCATCAAGTAACAATACCTGGCTTTGCCCAACCAGGCAAAGCATTGGTAACCACTTCTTGTAAGAAGAGCGCAGCCACCCCAGTCAAGGGAGGAACAATGGCAAGAATGCTAAGGAAGACAGCAATGAGGAATATGAAATTTGGCTACCTGTGAAACAGAATGGTGTTTAGCCTCTCTCATCTCCTTCTCTTAGCTATATAGTCATTACCCCAAAGAGCATTTGAATACTCAAACTCAAAGAGTTCAAAATTAGCAAATTAACTGAAAAATTTCAAAAGTGTTAAGAATGTGTTGCTTTACATAAGACCTTCACTATGCTCCCACCATTCTGCAAAGTGAGCGGCAGACATCACAGAATTTCCCCTAACTCAAGTATCTGTTCCTCCTACAGAAGAAACTTCACAGCCGTGTCCGAATGAGAAGTGTTCTCTAATCCTGGATTGCAGTGGGTTGACCTTTTTTGACTATTCTGGAGTCTCCATGCTCGTTGAGGTATTTATACAGCTTGTATTTGCATGGATCATGGATTCCTCCCCTTCAGCAATAGGGTTTTTTTTTTTTTTTTTTTTTTTTTTTTTTTTCACCAGCCACCTACTCCTGGGCCTCAATGCTGCTCCTTTCAACAGAACATAGAACTTCATCCCTCCCACTCCTGTTAATTTGTTTTCAGGAGACCCAGTCAAGCTTCCAGGTATGTATGTGTGGAGACCAAAGGAGAGGATATTCATGTGGGTTGCTCAGAGAGAAGAGAACATAGATTTGAGATGTTGTGGCCATGGTACATGGGGTGCAGTTAGCTTATAGGTTTCCAGAAAGAATGGTAAAATTCCCCTCTGTGAACAGGTGGCCTTGGTGATGGCTGGATATTTTCTCTCACATCGTGGCTGAGTTCAGTTTAACCCAACACCATTCCTGGTCTCTCAAATGGCACCCAGTGCAAGCACTTTCACCCTGTTCTCATGGACAGTGGTGCTTAATTTCTACCCCACAATTTCTGTGGGGTCTCCATGATCCTGGTGTGCAGAACATAAAAATCTTTATTTCTATAAAACTCACATAGTTCACAAGAACACCTCATTTGATGATTCAATAAAAACTCAGAAACTTCTGAAATTTTTCCCCCTTGTTTTTTTGAGTAAATACTAAGTCAACAGGAATTTATTTCCTTTATTATTTCTCTTGGTTCTCTTCCTCAGTACCCTAAATTTAGTGGGGAAGTCTTGAGGATGGAAAAACATGCATCCTCAGTCCTCTACCAGCTTCTGCTGCCTGGAGCTCAGCACATCTTGGCTCTGGGTGTTTGCCCCCCGAAAAGGTCTCCTATCCTGGCCTCATAAAGTTCCCCTCCCTCAGGTGTGACTGTATTCCATCAATACCTTAATCCAAACCCTCTGGACATTGCTGGAGTTCTCTCCATATCTCCCTCTTTTCCATTACTTGCTCCAATGGTTTTCACCCACCCTGTCCTTCCTGAACTCCAAGTCTGTCTGCTCAGTTCAGTGAAGCTGCTGCATTTCTCTTGGGTTCCTCCTCATAGCGCCTTGGCTCAGAATCTGCTTGGAGGCAGAAAGCTAACATCCTGGAGAGCTCGCCTCGTTTGTTTTCTTTCTCTCAGAGAACTCAGTTCTGTGCTCCCTAGCCCCATGGCCTGGAAATAGTTTCTACATTTTTGACTGATTGTCTACTGTTTCACACACAGTAGATGGTTTTGTTAGTCACTCTCCATGGTCAGGGGTTGAATCTTGCATGGTCTTTCAAAGAGTTAAGATCAGTCATCTTCGTGTGGCTTCATGTACAGAGTGATTGTCTCCTGTGGCATTGCATAACTGTCTCTACTCATTTGTATTTTAAATTTGAATTGTCCAACCTTTCAAAATCCAGATAATGCAAAAATCAACTTTAGTCTTATTCTGATATGGAGATAAGGGTGGGAATATATTAAGTGGGAGCTGCTGGTTGGTGAAAGTCTGAGAGAGCAGCTCCGTCTTGTGTTACTAGCTGTGAGGTGAGGTGTGGGGGAAATGTTCTAACCAGCCCAAACCTCAACTTATTCATTTTGTGAAAATGAGGGGGTGATTTTGTTTCAGAATTAGCAGAAATTCAGGAAACAAATTATGCAAAAGAATTAAATTTAAATATTCTAGACTTCAAATCTAGTGGTTGTTTTTAGTAAGTCATCCTTTACCCATATAATATTCTTTTACTTTCTTTTTTACTCTAAAAGCTTTGCACATCTTGTCAGAGTCCAACGGGAGTGCTTTGTATTTTATTGCCTCTAAATCCAGCCTGTTAATCCTCTTTATTGGAGGATTTCTTATATTTGACAATATTTTACCTTAAGGGCTTGTGTAATTGGAAAACATAGTTACACACACACACAAAAAAAAGACAATAATAAGATGCGTCTCCACTCCATACCATTTTTCCCTTTCTCCAGGATTCTGCTTAAAAATCACCTCATTGGGGCCTCCCCGGTGGCGCAGCAGTTGAGCGCTGGGTTGCGAAGCTGCCCGCAGCCTCTGCAGCGCCAGTTCGATCCCCCCGGCTGCTCCCCGGCCACCGGAGGAGGGTCCCGCATGGCGCGCAGACCTCTCCTGCCGCCCGCTGCTCCCCTCAGCAGTGTACTTCGGTCCTTCTGCCTGCTCTGCTCCCCGCTCTGGCTCTGGTGAATTCTCTCACCCTTCTGCGCTTCTGGCTGTACCCAGTGCTTGTATAAATAAATAAATAAATCTTTAAAAAAAAAAAAAAATCACCTCATTGGTGAGGCCTTCTCTGATGTCCCTCTGTGTGATAGTAACCGCTACCCACCCCAGCTTTCTTTTCCTTGATTTGCGTTTGCCGTTTTGATTCACCCATGTTGCTGAGCTGTGGGCCACACTTGTAGAAGTGCTCTTAAGCTTATATGCACAAAGATCACCTGGGTGCTCTTTAAAATGCAGTCTTCTGGGTCTTAGTTTTGGTCCAGGAAACTTTCTTTAAACAGCCATTAGGTGATTCTGAAGCAGATGACCCAAGAATCACAATATGTGTTTCTTGTTTGTATTTTAAAGTTGTTTTTGAGTGCTAATACTTATTAGCTGTCCTGTCTAAATATTGCAAACTGGGACTCAGAGCAAAGAGGAGGCCATGGCCACCTATTTCCACTGAGTGTAGGATCTAGGGTTGAAAAATCAGAGGAATCCAAGTAATCCAGGTACTGGGCATGTTGAGAAAGAGGTTTTCTTCCCTCTTATTTATCTTAATGTTTTTTTAAATTCTATTCTGTGAAATGATGGAATAAGGTGACCGATTTTTTTTTTATTTTATTTTAAAATTGGCAGAAAATGACATTTGCCCTTGACCTGGTGATTTTAATCTGTATATACAAATCAGTAGTTTTGTTGTATCAGCCTGCCTTTTAAAATTTCATTATTACTATTTTTTTTTTCATCCTGGTCCCAGTAAACTATGATTTATGCCAAGAATATAGGTTTTTTAAGTTACAAATCCTGGGTTCAAATATTAACCATATAACTACTTCTCTGATCTTGACCTAAGTATATGTTTATTGTCCTGTTAACTTTAAGTGAAAATACTCAATTTATCAGCTTGCACTGAAGCTTAGAAATGACATACTGCATATAAAACACGCAACAAAGTGTTTTTTTTTTTTTGCAGTTAGTAAGTACTCAGTAATCCTGTTTTCTATTATTTGTTCTCATTTTGCAAACAATATCATTGTGACTAATACTATTTTTTAGTTCCAGCAACCCTGAGAGCAGGTCCAGAATAAAGAGCCAGTGAATCTCTCCAGCCATGCATGTCTTCCTGCTTTCTAGCAACACCCCAGGATTATTTTCTTAGTTGCCTTAGTATAAGAAACATTTTCCTAGGAGTTATAGGTTGAAGAAAATGATGACTTCTATTTATTTTTCTACTTAGTACACTGCAGAGGTCAGGAATGAGAGACTGTGTTTATCAGTATCAACAAATCATCTGTAGCAATGTGTTAGTGCTTCACCGTGCTTAAGAAAAAGTCAAACACTGACAAGTCACCTTGAATTAATCATTTTAACTTATTAAAAACAGAAACCATTTATTCAATGGCAAATCACAGTTCATATTTTAATTGTTTGTTTCCTTGCTTGCTTATTCATGCTCACAGTACTCTATCTCCTATCATTCCACAATTCTAACATAGAGAGATGCATATTGCTAGAAGGATATAAGGGAACATTTTGGATGTACCATGTATACTGTTAGAATGTATTATAAATGCAGGTTTCTACATTTTATATGTAGGACACATCACTACTAGATAACTAAACCAAGTATACCATTACTAAAACTTCTAGATTTGCTTTCGTGGGTTTTTATGGGCTGGCTCAGGAGAATTTAAAATTAAAGATTCTAAGTTCTTTCTACTTTTGATTTTCTAGGACTTGAACAAGACAAGACCCTAAAGTATACCAGGCATATTTGTTAGGATCTCTCATCTTGATGGATTTATTTAAAAACGGAAGTTGGGCAATCAAACTTGACTTCGATTTTAGTGAGGTTCTCAAATTACCATCCATGGGTGTGATTCAGAAATCCATGAACATGCACAGGCTGTAAAATATTAATAAATAATGAGTCAATAGTTATCATCACTTTCATAAATGGATCCTGGACTTCCCTTAAAAAAAAAAAACAAATGTTGAAAACAATAATGTTATCCTTATAGAGGAAAGTTAATGTTTTTATTTTTATGAAATGTAGAAAACTTAAGTAGCCAAAACTTAGTTTTGGTAAAGGTAGATGCCAGATGCCTGCTACTTTAATCTTAGTTTGCATTGACAGTCTTCCAAAAGCATACCAGGGCTTGCCTGATTGTGTAACAATGCCTCCCTCTGGTGGTCTGACATAACAAGCAGTAGCTTTTTATTATGAGAATTTTTCCTTTCTGCTGAAGTCCTCTTATTCCTTCCCACCTTAAATCCTGACTTAATTGTGGATATGCTATTTTAATTCTTTCAGGTTTACATGGACTGTAAGAACAGGAGTGTGGATGTATCATTAGCCCATTGCACAGGTAAGGGGGTGTCATATTGAATGTGCTTCCTCTTCTGGTCCATGTATCCTGATATCATTTGTGCTTTCTTGTAGCTTCCTTGATAAAAGCAATGAACTACTGTGGAAACCTAGACTTAGAGAAACCAATTTTTTTTGAATCGGTATCTGCTGCAATAAGTAACATTCATTCAAATAAGGTGAGTTGAACAAGTTGGCATGCAAACTTTACAAGAATAATTAGAATGTAGAATCAAGAATTTTGTATTTTTTATAATAACCTATTATGTCACTGACTTGTAAAATCTGTTAAAATTTCCCCTCATCCAACATCTTTGCTACAAGTAGAGAAGTGTTTCTAGTCCTTTCTTTTTGGACCAGGTATAAAAATTGTTAAATAATTTGAATGTTCTGATAATATAATTTCCTAGAGAATTTAGTGATCACCTATTAAACTGCATGCTTATAAAATAAGTCCTTCTCCAGGATCTACTATCTTGGGAATTTGAATCCATCCCTGCTAAGTGCAAAAGAACTAAACACAGCCCAAAAGCTTTTTTTTTTTTTTTTTTTTCTGCTCTGAAGGTTTACCTCTAAACTTCTTTGCCACGTTTGGAAATATTATTTACAGAACCCAGTGCTCACATGATCTCAAGTGTTAAAATTACCTTCTGAACACTGGAGATAGGGTCAATTTTGGAACTGTTCCTAAAGCTTTGATTTCCTGTAATTTTTCTTTGACTTTGAGTCATTTCCTCATCCCTAGAACATCATTTGGTGCCTCCCAGAGTCATCACTGTTATATTCAATCAGAACAGTATGTATTTACAAAATAATAATAATGACACTATCATTATTATTATCATCATTACTATTAACCTAACAGTTGGAGTGTTTATTATGTTCCAGAAATATTCCTAGAGCTTGACCTATATTAACTGACTAAATTTGCCACAACCTTATGAGATAGATACTATTGTGTAACCTGTCTTTTGAAATGAGGAAATTGAGGTCCAGGAAAGTTATTACATTGGTAAGTGATAGAAACAGTGCCAAAGTCAGCAATCTGACCTTGGACTTGGAGATTTAAACTGCTCTGCTCTGATACCTCATAGAATGTCCATTTTCTTAGCTTGGCTGTGTAGTTTTATTCTTGGACTATGGTATTGTCTTAAGACTCAAACGTGCTCATTTCTTCCTCTTTTATTCCAGAATTTAAACAAACTCAGTGACCACAGTGAAGTCTGAGAGATCCATTTGCTGCAGTACAACTATTGTCTTTAGCAACTGCCCCGAGGAGGCCATACATACTCTAGTATTTTGCACAATTTTTTTTTGTTGTTGTTTAGATTCTACAGTTGATGTCTAATGCAACAAATATGATGTGACTTAGTAACCACATAGCCACTGGTCAAGATTTACCTATAATCTTTTCTAATTTTGTTATTAAGTAGAATCACTTAGTAGGTTGTTGGTAGAGTTATTTGATAGTAATTGGTGTGCATTTGGTTTTAGGGTACTCAAAGGTTAGCATGAATTTATTTCTTTTTACCACAGTATTTTGTATTGTTTTATTTGTTTTGCTATAAGTTAATTTGTAAAATGGAGAAACACTCAGTCATAAGATGAAATTTAGTACACTTGAATGCCACTGTAAAAATTCAGGATCATTCATAACTAAAACATAAAAATAATTTAGCAAATGTATGATTTTCCCTTACCCCCCAAATCACCATTAAATGTCTAAGGCTAAATGTTACAGTGAGATAGAAGTTATAGAAAATTGGTCAGACAGAACTAAATGACAAAGTAGAATCCATTGATCTCCATAACTTGCCATGCATGACATTTTTGAGGGATGTTTTCAAAGTAACCATTATGCCAATGAAACCAAGTTTTTGACCTTCATTTTGCTGTGAATATTGGAAATGTTTAGGGTCTTCATTTCTGATCATCCTAATTTCCACTTTTCTATACCATAAAATTCTGTATTCAGCTTAAATTTTGTTGGAGCCAGAGATTATGGAATAGCACATTTTATATTTTTCCCACAAATATGATTGCTACATGAGAAAATAGAATACATGGCCTTCCTATTTCAGAAATACAGCATATATAACATAGTACATTTATCTCTATATATCCAGATAGATAGATAGATAGATAGATAGATAGATAGATAGATAGATAGATAGACACCTGTAGTTTGTTTTTCTTTTTCTTTCGTTAGAGAACAGCTTGGATATGTGATCATCTGTAAGCTCACCAAACCAACATGATAATTAACAAATAAGCACCATAGGACAGGCTGACCTAGATATGTTATTGTTTTCATGCTGGTACATATATTTTCAATCACATGCAATTACACAGTTCTGTATTTTTATCTAGGAGTTTGATTTACCTATGAAGAAATCTCTCTTTCAGAGATGCACATTTGTGTTTAAGCCTTAAGGTGTTTTAGGTCTTGAAATTACCAGTATAACAAAATCAGGTACTTTAAAATGAATTTAAGAAGTAGATTTAAAAAATTAAAAGATCAAGGGCCTCCCCTGGTGGCGCAGCGGTTGAGCGCTGGGTTGCGAGGCTGCCCTCAGCTTCTGCAGCGCCAGTTCGATGCCCAGCCACTGGCGAGGGTCCCACCGAAAAAAAAAAAAAAATTTTTTAAAAGATTGATTATTTAGACATTTTTGTGGGCATCTGTTAAGAGAAAATTCTTGTGCTTGCCAAATCATATAATAATCCCCACGAAATATGTAGTAAACTTTTTTATATGACAATTTTAACATTAAGCCCTAGGTAGAATGATGCAATAAAATGAAATGGGAATAATGAATGTTTTGAGTTCTCATAACTTATTTAAACATTTTAACTTCAATAGGCATGAACTGAAAAAGCAGTCTTTGTTCCAAAGGAAGTCCCAATCCCGTCACCATTAATTTGGGTTAAAATGAATAAAGTTAAGTTTCATTCCTATAAATACTGCTCCAAGAAAAGATAGAGATCCTACATGGAGGTAAAATTTCCTTAGAGAAAGGAATTTCACTCTGTTTATCCAATGAAATTATTCTAATGGGTATGGTGGTAACACTCAGCATCCCTAATCTATTGGTGATTTGCACATAACCATGAGTCAAGAAAATGTATTTTGCTGTGCAACTTTAAATTATGCACTGCATGCATTTTCCAATTTGTTAGAGGTTATGGACCATAGATGACATTAGAATCATTAGTTAATTAATGGATATGCATATAATGCATATTCTATTTTATTGTTAAAGGTAACATAATATTTTCTAAGCAGATATATTTGAATGCATTTGAGTGTTTATAGTAAAAGTTTAATGGATAAAACTTTGAAGGCAATAGCTTGGATGTCAAAAATCAATGTTATTTTCAAAGTACAGAAAGACCTAACCATCCACCAAATAAACCTTTTTGTTCTAAGGTTTCTCCTGCAAACTAAGGTCACAGTGATTGTTGACCTAGACGAACTCTCTGGAATTGAGTTCTAGGAGTCCAATAGTTGAATATGAGTTTTAAACAAAGGATTCTAAAATATAAATGTTTATTTCAAAGCAGTCATTACCAACACAAGAACTATAATATGGCAGTAATGTTAAACTATTTCTAGTCAAACTGAATTGTTTTCATGGGATCATCTTATTTATATATATATATATATATATATATGATAAACTACTTTCATACTGCTTATTATGGTAAAATAAAACTGGAAAAAATTAAAATTGACCTATAAGAGTATTAAGGACTTAATAGCGTGACATATATAAATTAAACATAAAATATATTTCCAGGAAAAAGACTGTTAACATTACATTTATGCAAATTAAATGCCCTTAAATTTTACCATTTGTCTTTCATTTTAAAGGTTATTTGCCCCGATTATATGATTCAAGTGTTATAAGGTCTAGCTTGAACTACTTTACAGTAATTTATTTGACAGAATTCCTATTCTATAAATGCATAAAGTAATGAGGAAAGAAATCTCTCTTTTTGAATGAAAATATTAATGTGTTAATGCCCTGTATGGCTAATGTTTGACATTTAGTTGTTACCAAAAGATATTAGTATAAGTATATTGTTGAACATACATATACCTTAGAAATGCACTTTCTGCATTCTGTGGGATGATGGTCTAATTCAATATAGAATATGTTTTTTGGCAGTGATTTTGTTGCCAGATTTCAAATAGGGAGTTAAGTGGTGCTTTCATAATCCAAAGATTTTTAGTTGTTAAAAATCATGTAGTCTAATATGCCACACTTATTTTTTAATATTTTTCAATGCATTTAATTATCTTTTTTTATAATCCTTTGTACTAACTCAGCATGTAACAACCAATTTACATGGAAATAAATTGAAATATGATAAGTATTATGCTTAAATGGATTTGTGTCCAATATTTCAAAGTATTTACTCTCCTGCAAAGCAAATAGTACACATTGCTTTCTGAGACTGACCACAGAGTATTATGTGTTGAAAATTCTTGGAAGTATCCATTATTATTGGTAATTTGTTCTTACAAAATTTCAACTTAAGACTGTGAGGTATTGTGCTATGATTTATGGACTGCTGATAAGGCACTGAAAGGGCACTTTTTGCTGCAAGTTTAAATTTGCACAATCTTCTTTTACCAGGTTTATATCCTTTTTGTCTTAATTTTAATATGCATATTTTATTGGGGGGGTTTCTATGCCCAATTCAATATTTTTCAACACTCTAAAAGTTATTGGTTCAAGGGCAAAAAGTTGTCTCTCTTATAGTTGTTGGAGATACAGCAGTGCAGAAAACAGAAAAATTTCCTGCTCTCATGGAGCTTATAAATATGAAAGGAAGACAAAAAGTAAGCCAGATAAATTTAAAATACATTTATTTTAAATTAGATTATAATATGTGATATTTCAAGAATAAGTCAAAGAAAGTAAATAAGAAGGATGGCAGGGAGTATATGTTATCTGCCTAGATAACATAGCAGGAATAATGACTAATGGAATTTTCCTAGTCTACTTGCCTACTATAACTAATATCCTAGACTTTGGAACATTAAAAAAAAAAATAGACATAAATATCTCAAAGTTCTATAGGCTAGGAAGGTAAAGACCTGGGTACCATGTATTCGTTTGGTTTCTGGTGAGAACTGTCTTACTGGCTTGTAGACATCCTCTCACTGTATCTTCACATGGTGGAGGGACTGAGACAGTGGTCTTTGATGTATTTTCTATAAGGACACTCATGCTATTGACTTAGGACCTCACCTTATGACTTTATTTAATTCTATTACTTCACAAAATGGGTTAAGAACCTGGTTGTAAGACTTGAAACAAAAAATGTAGAAGAAAACAGGCAAAACATTCCACCACTTTGGCCTTAGAGATGTCTTTGGGGACTGAATTTCAATGGCAAAGGGAACAAAAGCAAAAATAAACAAATGGGATTATATCAAACTAAAAAGTATCTGCACAGCAAAAGAAGCTATCATTAAAATGAAAAAAAAAAAAAAAAAAACACCCTACCAAGAAGGAGAAGACATTTTCACAATATACATCCAACAAAGGGTTATAATCCAAGATCTACAAAGAACTCATATGACTCAACAAGAACAAAAAACAAATAACCCAATAAAAAAAAAGAGCAGAAGGCTAAATAGACACTCCTTCAAACAAGACATACAGAGGGCCAACAGACACATGAAAAAATGCTCATCATCACTTATAAACAGGGAAACCTAAATCAAAACTCCAATGAGATACTATGTCACATCCATGAAAAAATGACTCATATTAAAAAAAAAAATCAAAAACAAGCCTTGGCAAGGATGTAAAGAAAAAGGAACTCTTGTGTACACTGGTCCAGCACCTGTGGAAAACAGTATAAAGGATTCTCAAAATATTAAATAGATCTAAAATGATTCAGCAATCCCGCTCCTAAATAACCACTTAGAGAATGCAAAAACCCTAACAGAAGAAATATTTGCACCTTCTATGTTCATTGAAACACTATTTATAGTAGCTAAGTTATGGAAATCTAACTGCCCAAGAACAGATGAATGGGTTAAGAAGAGGTGGTATGTGTATACAATGAACTACTCAACTATAAAACAAAGATGAAATCTTGTCATTTGTGACTATATCGATAGAACTGTGAAGAATTATGCAAAGTGAAATAACTTACAAGGAGAAAGACAAATACTGGATGACTTCACGTATTTAGAATATAAAGAAACAAAGGAACAGACAAAACAAAACCAAAACAAACCCTAGATATCTGACTGCACAATTGAGGGTACCAGGTGGGGAATGTTGGGCTGGCGGTAGAGAGCAAAAAAAGGAGGGTGCCTGGACTGTGGGGGAAGATTATTGGTGCTTTGGAAGACCATAGATGGATGTGTTGTGGTAGCATAGAACCTGAAGGTGTCTGAACCTATTCCCCTAAATCATAGTAGAGAGTATTATAAACCATCATCACCTCAATTAAAAGAAAAGCAAGTTTAAGAAATCTTAATGACATCTTTATAGACTCTATCTCCAAATATAGTCATATTGGAGTTAGAGCTTCAACATATAATTTTATGGACAATTCAGTCCATTATCGGGAACTATAAATTTGCTAGATATTTAAAAATTTCCTTGTTTATCTTGTCTGAAAAACAGACTTCTAGAATTTGATTTAGGTTTAATAAGATGTAATAATTTTATTTAGGTTTACTTATAATGCAATATTTTTACATCAAAAACCTGATAGACAATCGTGAACAGTCTGGTTAAAGCATTCAACTGCTAGACGGTAGGTTAGTATGGATGTAATGAGCTACACCGGGCTACTCAGCTGAAGTTCTGGCCATGAAACAGTGAAATGGTCAATATTGAGTTTGCAAAATACCACTGGCTGTTCAGAGGTTGAGACACATTATATTCTGGTGATGTTTCCCAATAATAAGCCTGCTTAAAGAAAACAGAATTGACTTTGCTAGTTTTCTTTTACTTATCATACTATTTTAAAGACAACAGACATAGATGCTTCATTTTACCAACTGTCACAGAGACGGTCAGAACAGACTTGATGCTAACTACAGCAAGAAGTTTCCATTCTGGTTTTTGTTACTATATCTTTAGTCTTTGTTTTCTTTTTAAGAAGAAAAAAAAAATAGTAGGTTACTATGAATTAGTAAGTGCTCTGAAATATCTTTTTCAAAGTATTTATGTAATAATCTTCACTCCTTTTCTATTCAGTCATCAACAGAAAGGTCATTTTCATCAAAATGATCTCTTTCTGGCCTGGATAAAGACAGCCCTCTCCAGTAAGTGTAGGAAGATTTTTTTGTATTTTTTGGAACTTTTTGTTTTGTTTTATTTTTTGTCACATTTAAAAATTGGTTAATTAATAAGCCCTGTGAGAAGCTACTCTTAAAAAAGAATTGTTACAATGAAAGTAAAATAAAATGCCTCAATAAGAAGATATAGAAAAATCTAAAATTCTATTTGTATTTGTTGGAGTCGCAAAAGTCGCCCCTTTTCCCCTTCCTAGTTTTAAAACAATTTCTAGCTGTGTGAGGCTACAAGGTGAGGAAACACAGACCCCATTTTAGGCTGTAATGCATTGGCCAATGTCCATATTTAATTTCTCTGTTTCTACACATCTTACACTTTGATTTATATGCCCTAGGATTCTTAAGCTTCCATGCTCCCTATTTTCTTGTATTTGTAGTTGGAGAGTTATTAGTTGAATAAAGGTGCTGTTTCCTAGGCTAGGGAAACCGGAGAATGTGCAGGGAAGGGAGACCAGTGAGTGCACGTAATGCTTGGGCATTGGGTGGGTTTGGGGGAGAAAAAAATACTGAGAATAGCACAGGTTTACGGGGGGGGGGCAGTATATTAGGAAGAGATTTGTTGGCATGACTAATTCCATGGTAGTATGATTCCAGAAGTATCTAGAGTCTCCTGAGTCCAACTATCTACTGCATCAGATTTTAAGTCCTGGGGTCCCGTCTCTAGCCACTTGTTTAGGCTGTAGCAAATATTACAAGGAAAAATTACATGTAAGTCATTGCGATGCATTGTGTTAGCCTTAGGAAGAACTTGTCCATCAGTTCAGTTTATAAGGCATTATCACTAAGGACCTGAGAAAACAAAGCACAGAACAAACTTTGATTTGTAAGTCTTGTGAGAAATGTCTTTTGGAACTCAGGGTGCTCCTGAAAGTAGGGTGGGAATGGCGGTGCTGAGAGGCAGGCTGGGGTGGTGATGCGGGACAAGGGGTGATGCTTGGGAGACAGAGGAATGGCAGGCACCCTTGGATGGCAGTATCTTCTCACCCCCTACCCCAAAGGCATAGACATGGTGAAACTGGGGTTTGTGAAGCCAAGCACGAGTCTTCCCACATCATAGTTTTTCCTGGGGCTTGGACTGATTCCCTTCACTTTCGCTCTGGAATTAAAATTTGAGAATAGCAGTGTGACCGCCAAAACCAAGATTGACATACAATTCTTGTCTTGTATAAACCTTTTTTTCAATTGCCCCTCTTCAAACTGCCAATGAAAATATTGAAGTAGTAAGGGTCTAGCTAAACAGAGTGGCGGTTTAAATAATTAAAACCAATCAAATGACGGTGCCAGCTTTCACCTAGATCTAGTTGAAATGTGATTCTATTAATATCTACACCAGAATCACTGCGGGTATTTGCTATATATGCAGACTCAAGCACCCTGTCTACTGCCTGACCTAGCGAATCAGAATATGATTTGGGCATATGACTTAAAAGTCATTGGCTTTCACTTTGTAGCCTAAAGTTTGAAGTCCCAGTCACAAATGCTTTTTTTAGTCTGATACTTGAAAGAAGCCCTGTACTTGAATTTTTTGACTTGAACTGTTTAACACTTGCTCTGTTTGTACTTGTGCGCCAGTCACAACGCATTGTGGTGCTAATCTCAGGTGACCAGAAATGGATGTATAATTGGGTCATGTGGTAAAGGACTGTGTCAAATTCACCCTAGTTTTTGATCACTAAGTATGTCACAGTCAAGAAGTATCAAACATTATCTTCAGTCATATTTTTTTAAGATTTATTTATTTATGCATACAAGAATGGGGGCACAGGCCAGAGGTATGGGGTGTGTGTGTGAGAGAGGATTCACCAGAGATAGAGCAGGGAACAGAACAGGAAGACTGAAATAGACAGCTGAGGGGAGCAGTGGGTGAGACAGGAGAGGTCTGCAGCGCCATGTTGGTAGCTCCCTGCCCGGGGATGGAGTTCATGCTGCAGTGGCTACAGATAGCTTCACAGGTTGCATCTTAACCCCTTGCACCACCAGGGAGGCCCAGTCATATTTTCATGACTGAATTTCCTAATACTGAAAGTTTCA